CTCCTGGTCGCCCTTTCCCTCTTCACACTGCATTGTCTGAAGCAGCGCAGCCCTTCTTACCTGTGTGGATATAGCAGCCTTCTGGCTGCTCTGCCTGCTGTCAGACTTCTGTCTGATTCTGTACTCTGTGTCAGATTGCTCTCCATAAAACATTACATCTAAATCATGTCACTTTCACTCCTGTAGGATGAAAGCCAAGCTTCTCATCCCCACTTTCAGAGCCCTTCATTGGCTGCTCCCAGCCTACCTTTCCAGCCTTCTCCCCACAGTTACATGCACGGCCTGCTCCAGCCGCACTGCCCTAGTCGCCAGCCTCTGAACATGACATATTCTCCCTGGGGCCTTCCCACTAGTTTCTACCTCTTTCCTTCAGGGCCACCTCTGCCTCTCCAAACCTCACCTGTCTTTTGAGGTGCTCCGTAGTGGATTTCCTTGTGATACCTTCTCTGGTCTCCCCCATCCTGAAGGGTTCACTCCTTCTGCAGAACAGCCAGAGTATTTATTTTACCTTTAATTCTCAGTGCCTTAGGTGGTCCATGGACCACCAGTCTGGGCATCACCTGGGACCTTGTTAGACATGCAAAACCTCAGGTTCCACCTGTGACCTATGGTGTCAGAGTGTACATTTCAACAAGATCCCCAGGTGGTTTGTGTGCATGTTTTTTTTTGTTTGTTTGTTTGTTTTGTTTTTGAGACAGAGTCTCACTTTGTTGCCCAGGCTAGAGTGAGTGTTGTGGTGTCAGCCTAGCTCACAGCAACCTCAAACTCTTGGGCTCAAGCAATCCTCCTGCCTCAGCCTCCCTAGTAGCTGGGACTACAGACATGCGCCACTATGCCCAGCTAATTTTTTCTATATATATTAGTTGGCGAACTAATTTCTTTCTATTTATAGTAGAGACAGGGTCTTGCTCTTGCTCAGGCTGGTCTTGAACTCCTGAGCTCAAACTATCCGCCCACTTCAGCCTCCCAGAGTGCTAGGATTACAGGCGTGAGCCACCGCGCCCGGCCCACACTTAAGTTTGAGAAGCACTGGACAGTGTGGTCATTGAAGGCAGGACCTTGCTTCTGTTTTGGAGGGGCTTTGGCTAGGGATGGTGGTATTCTCAAATGCCAACTGTAGCAGCCCCTGTCAGGTGACAGACAGATGCCATATCTGGCCAAATCCCACAAGCTATGGTGGATGGTGGAGGTGGCTAAGAAGGACATGTACCCTGGCTGGATCCTTCCCACCCAGAATCTATACTCCACAAGGCCCCAGAGCTTAAACTCTGTAAATGTGACTTTGGAGAGTGCTCTAATGGCATGAGGAACAATCAATCAATCAGTTAAAAAAGCAGTTATCAAGCATATAGCAGAAATTTTCCCTCTTCACAAAACACACATTGGTGAAAAGGCCTGTTATTTTAATGTATATTTCGAAAATAAAAATATGTAGTTCTGGTTTTTTTCTTTGTTATAACATTAATACAGTTTCTAAAGTAGTAATTTTAGGAAACACAATATGTCACATGAAGAAAATAAAAATGGTTCACAAGTCTAGTATCCATCTATAAATACTGCTATTTAATGTATTAGATTGCCACCCATTCATTCTGTAAATATTTACAGAGCCCTACTATATGCCCGACCTGCGCCAGGTACTAAAGATTCTGGGTGAAGAAGATAACAAGGTTCCTATTTTTAAGCAGCTCGCAACCAGGGGGTGGGATGTGGGAGACAGGCACTGAGCAAGTTAAGAACAGCAGTGTATTCATTTCTTAGGGCGGCTTGAACGAAGTATTCTACCACAAACCGAGTGGCTTAAAACAACGGAAATTTATAGTCTCGCAGTTCTGGGGGCTACAAGTCTGAGATCAGGTGTTGTCGGGTTGGCTCCTTCTGAGTGCTGTGAGGGAGAATCTGTTCGATGCCTCTCGCCTAGCTTTCAGTGACAGGTGGCAATCCTTGGCATTCCTTGGCTTGTTGATGCATCACTCCAATCTCTGCTTCCATTGTCACATGGCATTCTTCCTGTGTCTCTGTTTTCACATGGCCAACTTCCTATAAAGACGCTAGTCATGTTGGATTAGGGATGCACCCTACTGCGGCATGACCTCAACTTCACTAATCACATCTGCAACAATCCTATTTCCAAACAGGGCCGCCTTCTGAGGTACTGGGGGTTGGGACCTCAGCTTGGCAGGGGGAGGGGATACAATTCAACCCATAACAGGCAGGGGCAGTGCAGAGTGCAGGGAGTAACTAACCTCATATGGAAAGGCTCTCCTAGGAAATGACCTTCAAACTGGGAGTGAGCCAAGAGTAGGGATTGGCCAGGTTCAAAGGCGGAGCGACAGGAAAGTACAGAGTCCTCCAGTCGTGGAGGTGGGAGTGGGCTGGGGGAGAGCATTCCAAGCAGACAGGAGACAAAGTGGCACTTTTGAGGAATGAAAGAGCGCAAGTGTGGCTGGAATACAGAGTAGGGGCAAGCGGCACGGCACAAGCTAGGAGATGGGAGAAGACAGGGGCCAAGTCCTGTGGGCTCATGGGCCTCGGTGAGGGGCTTCTCCTTTGTGCTGAAGGAACGGGAAGCTATGGCAGGGTGCCCAGTGGGTGTGATTTATTCTGCTTCCTCATGGGCTGTCTTCTCCCAAGACAGAGCTCTCTAAAGGCTGTGTTGTTCCTCTAAGTCCCAGGTCCTAAGGGAGGACACACAGCCAAGTCCTCAGGAGCCCCATGGCTGAGCGAAGGCACTGGCAACCCTGTCCAGGGAAGGAGGCATGGCCATGTCCCCAGCAACCCCCAGTTGGAGGGTGGGGGATGAGCCCTGCCTTCAGGAACCTTGTTCTGAATAGGAGACAGGGCTCACCAGGTGCTGGGTCTGCCTCACCCTTGGGTGTCCTGAGTCCTCAGAGTCTGGGGGACACAGGTTGGGGCCTGGCAACCCCACTCCCTGCACTGCCATGAGAACTGTGACTCGAAATGTAGCAAGGGCCCATGTGGCTCCCTGAGGCCAGAGGTCCCCGTGCTGAGGGAAGCCAGGGGCTCCCGCGGGGGCCATGCCTTCAGCACCCTGTGCTCCTCAAGGGATGTCTGGAGTCTGTATGGACTCCCTGCACAGGACCCCGCCTTTCTGGTGCTCAGCTCATCCCTTATCACACCCTCAGAGGGCTGCCCCTTTACTGCAGGTGACGGGAGAGGGCCCACCCTGCCCAAAGCTGCCTGTCGCCGCCTTGCCTGGGCTGGGTGGCCCAGGCTGGGTGGAGGAGAAGTGGGTCAGCTTGGTAGCCATGGTGACAGCAGCTGCTCCCTGCCAGCCTCTCATCTCCTCACCACAAACCTCAGCGATGAGCTCCTTTGTCCGGTCTGGCAGGGATGGGGGCCAGGAGGGCGAGACTGGGGGCTGGGGCGTGAGCGTGTGTGTGCAAGCTTGCACAGGGCCTGCTCAGGGCTGGTGTGTGTGCCTCAGCCAAGGGACCCCCGCTCACTCCGGTAAGGGACTTCCTGCTCCCTGCCCACTGAAGCCGTGGGGCTCTTCCTGCCCCTCCTGGCCGGGGCTGAGGGGAGGGTGTGTGTGTGTGCAGATGTGTGCAAACGTGAGAGTCTGTGATGGCCTGTGGCTGTCCCTGTGGTTGCTTCTGTATGCCTTTGTGTGGATGAGTGTCTTTGTGGGGGTGTGTGCACATATCTGTGTACATGTGATTGTGTCTTTAAGTGCATGTCATCTGCGTGGGTCTGTATGGTATGTGATCACACACTTGAACTTCTGTGCCCTGTGTCTCCCCTGGGTGCGTGTACATGTGTGTGCCTCCTTGGTGCAGCCCTCTTCTCCCACCACATACCAACCCTTGTCACCCCCCAAGCTCTCACTGACCATCTGGCACTGGTCTCTGATGAGGGCACAGACTGGCACATGTGATGCGGTGGGCAGTCCTGGTGCTGGGTTGGGCCTGGGGAAGGGGTCTCAAATGCCAGAGCCAGCATCCAGCAAGGGTTTGGAGCCTGACATGCTGGGACAGTTCATGGGCCACCTCCCACCTCAACTGAGAGGTGCGGGTACCCTGGTCCTGCACTTACCCTGAGCGCCCAGGGCTGCAGTGGGAGATGACCTTGTTAGTCTCTGGACCATCCCCTGAAGTGGTTGTACCTGGTGTGGACTCCAGACCAGTAAGAATGAACACATGGCCAATCCTTCACCATTTACAAAGGCACTGTTATTAGTAATAATAATAATTGCCCAACTGAGCATTTAGCATGTACCAATCCTTGTTTGGTAATATTTTATCTAACAATCCTAAAGCAGACATTATCCTCCCCACTTTAGGGATGAGGAGTGGTAGCTCGGGGGATTTGCTAAGGAGTGGCAGATCCAGGTTCCAGACCTGTCTGCCTGCAAGCACGTGTTTTTATCCACTCTGCTTTCCTGCTCCTCACCATCTCGTCTGATCCAGGTCCCACCTGGAGAGGCATGGCCAGGTGGTGATTAGGATCATTTTATAGAAGAGGAAACGGAGGTTCAGAGAGGCTGAACGACTTGCTCAGGGTCACATGGCTGGCTAGAAGTGACCCCCCAAGCATGGCACAGAGTTTCTGGGGAGGGACACAGACCCCCTTAGTCAGGGAGAGGATGGAGGAAGAATAGCTCCTGAGGAAATTGGTCCTGGATGAGTCCCTCATATGTTAAAGATCTTAAAGTTGTAGGACTTTAGCAGTTTGGCATTAAAGTGCCTAAAGGCAGACTAGGGGACCCAGGAATTTGGACAGTATTGCAAAGGAGGAAATGGAATCAGAAAGACTAAATGATTTGCTCAAGGTCCCACAGCTCAAGGTCACTTTGGAGAAACTCTCCAAAACTTATCTTTTTACTTCACAAGCTACTGGAAGCTCTTGAGGGCAGATGTCTTTCCTAGCCCCTCCTCTAAGTCCCCATTCCCTTCCAGACCCTCTTATCATATCACCTTCTCCTTGGAGCCTGCCCTGATTACCTTCACCTCATTTCTTAAAACTTGATGTCTTGGCAGAAGTTGACTGAAGCCTTGTACAGATGCCCTAGGGGTGCGCTGTTGGGAGGAGCACAGCCCCCTGTGATGCGGAACACCAAGCTCTGATTCATCAGTTAGGTGAGTTTGTATTTTCTTCTTTGGTGGGGTGGGAGCACATGAAAGGTGATGTGGAACCTGGGAGTTTGGAGCTCAAGGGGTTTTTTTGTTTGTTTGTTTTGCTTTTTTAAGATAGTCTTGTTCTGTTGCCCTGCTGGAGTGCAGTGATAAAATCATAGCTCACTGAAACCTCAAACTCCTGGGTTCAAGCAATCCTCTTGCCTCAGCCTCCAGAGTAGCTGGGACTACAGGCATGCCCCACCATGCCCGGGTAACTTTTTCTATTTTTAGTTGTCCGGCTAATTTCTTTCTATTTTTAGTAGAGATGGAGTCTCACTCTTGCTCAGACTGGTCTTGAACTCCTGACCTCAAGCAATCCTCTCATCTTGGCCTCCCAGGTGCTAGGAGGATTACAGGCATGAGCCATTGTGCCCAGCTAGAGCTCTGGTTTTGCTCCCAATTTTCTGTGTGACCCTTGTGTGTCTCTTCCCCATTCTAGGCCTTGATTTTCCACTCTGCAAAATGAAAGGCCCAGCTTGAATAGAGATGACAAGTCAGTTTTAGCTCATGAGCTGGTTCTCATTAGCTGGTGCTAGAACACTGTGTTGAGAGGGATTCTGAGGTTCAGTCTGACCTTGATGGGAAAGAGAGATGGATTAGCAATGTCTGCTGTGGATGGAGAATAGGGAGGGGTGGTAAGAGCCTCAGTTATTTGCAATCCCTTCTAGCCTAACAGTCCATCACCCTGTGATAGATTCCTTGGTCGTTCCTGTTGAATGGTTGGGTAGATAGGTTCATCTTGGGCTTTGGATTGGAATCTGACTCTCAAAAATAGGCTCATTATCTGATTAGACACATAGTCAAGGGGACCAAGGGGCCCAGGGTGGTCTGGTAGGACCCTGAAACCTGCTGTAGTCAGGATTCAGGAGAGGGTTTGGAGAGCCCTTAGGATACTGAAACATCAGGGTTGAGGCCAAACATCAAGGACTGAAAAGAAAACACAAGGCTTATTCCTGGGGAGCTTGGAAGATATCTTCTGGCATGGAGTTTTGACAGGAGTTGGGGCAGTAGCCCTTCTCGCTGGAGGATAAATCATATCAAGGTTTCTCTACTGCTCTAGTAGCAGCTGGGAGTCAGCAGAGAGCACTTCAGAGTGAAGTCTCTGTGACCCATTGAGATTGTAGGAGGGTTCCTTCCTTCAGGTGCCATGACCTGGGCTGCAATTGCTTAGAACCACCACCATTTAATGTGCCATGCTGTGTTCTGTGTCCTGCCGGCCCCCCACAGTCTGTCCCTTCTCTACTTCCTCCCCGTCCCACCCCTGTGGTCTGATGGCTCAGGGGTTGCTGTGCAGTGGACGTCCCTTATTATAGTGGCCCTGTCTGTATCTCTGGCATGTTCTTCCTGTGCTGGACTGGCTGCCAGAGAAAGAACTGGAGCCCCACTTCCGAGCCCTCCTCTGCAATATGCACTCATAGACTCAGTCCTCCCAGTCAGAAGGCTTCTCAGAGATTGCCTAATCTGACCCCTTTGTTTTACATGCAGATGGGGAAGCTGAGGCCCAGAGAAGTTCACACAAGGAATCTGTTCACATTCTAATCCCAAGTCCTGATTCCTAACCCTCCCAAGGCTGTGCCCTAGGACTCCTAGACCAGAGGGTCAGGCCTTAGGACTTGGGTCCAGTGCTTTGGGTCTGGCTCTTCCTGTCCCCTTGGGGAGTGGCCTGCAGGCAGAGCCCTCCCAAGCATTTATCAGTTCTCCAGGTCCCCCTGGGTGGTTAAAGATGAGAAAACCGCTCTGGATGGTGCAGAGTCCTGGATGCCAAACCATCTGCTTGTCAGTTCTGTTTATTATTCATGAGGAAACACGAGCCCCTGGGTTGGCAGCATCAGGAATTTTGTCCCTTACCCCCTTCCCTTCTCACCCCTGGGGTGGTGCTCTCAAGCTTCCTGGGGGCTGCGGGAAGGGAGCACTTGCTTCTCCAGCTCTGGTCTGCGTGGGGTTTCTGCTGCCACTGAGATGCTCAGGCCAGCCGTGGGAACCTGGGCCAGAGGGGTGTTCTCATAATAGACACTTTCCTTGCAGTTTTCTCAAAGAGCCCAGGACCCAGGGCAGAGCCCAAGCCTGGAGGATGGGTCCACATCCTTGGCCGAGCTCTGGGTCGCAGGGGCAGGGGCTGCCGAGCATGTCTGTTTCTTTGTGGAAACAGGAGGCTTGGGTTCAAGTCCAGGCTTTGCTATTTCTTAGCTGGGTAGGGTGGGCAAATCCTTTACTTCTCTGAGACTCAGTTTTCTCATCTATGCTATAGAGATAACTACACGGCTCACAGAAACACTATAAAGACTGACCCTGTGGCAGAGCCACACTCTCAGACAAGCAGTCTTCTGCCTGCCACCAAAAGACCATGCAGATACCGCCCCCCCACACAAAAAAAAAAAAAAAAGAAAAAGAAAAAAACACCACCAACTGGCACCAGAATTGGAAACTAAAGAGAAGAGATCATCGCAGGCCAAAGTCTAGGGGGACTTTCCATTAGCTACAAGGTTGATGGAGGATGGAGAAATATAATCTGGGGCTCTGCAATGTCACGGGGTGTATTAGAACCGTCCAGACAGTCACAAAGAAGCAAAACAAGCTTTGACTCATCCCCTCTGCAGCTCTACTTTGCCAGGCAGGCAGGAGCCATGCTGACCAGGAGACCCGGTGACCATTCTCAATGGTCTGGAGACTGTCTTCCTCATCCGCCAGAGTGGTGCCAATCCTCTCCCACCTCCATTTTCCCTCCCTTTCTTTTTGTCCTTTTGACAAGTCAGACTGCCTCAGGGCAGCATACCCGCGGGGATGGGCAGCTGCCCCAGGAGAAGCACTGGGGGCTGGGACACAGCGAGGAAGTTGCTGGGTGCAGGGCAGCCTGGAGAGTCTGGCTCTATAGCTTCTGCCCGAGCCGAGGAGGCCGCCTGCAGCAGTGGCCTCTGCAGCCCAGTTGTCGAGGCTGACAGCTGCAGATCCTACCTCTGCTCAAAACAGAGCCATTGGCGCTTCTGTCCCCCCTCCCCCAGAGTGATTCTCAGAGCCCTCTGTCCTCCTTTTCCCTCGCACTTACCATAACCCTCATTAAATATTTAGTTGTATAATTAGTTATTTACTGTCTCCCTCCCTCCTGGACTGGAGGCTTTGGGAGGGCAGGACCAAGTCGGCCTGGCTCACTGCTATATTCTTGGCAGTCAGCACTGGCCTGGGAATTTTCGGGACTTAAATATTTGTTGAATGCATGTCATGGGGAGTATAAATTTCTATATTGTCAAAAGGAATTTGGTAATATATTTCAAGAATCCAAAACACATTTATGCCCTTGGTATCAGATAGGGTGCTTTTGGGTATAATAGAGAACTCTGATTCAAACTGGTTTAGACAATGGAAAATATATCATCTCACATAACTGGTAGACCAAGTATGGCCTGAGAGCCTTTCTGTTTGTGTGCTGGGCTATTTTCAGCTACCCTGGCTTCATCTTAGGGTTGGGGTCTTCATGGGGGTGGGGGAAGGAAGGAGGGAAAGATAGAGGGAGAGATAGGAAGAGAGCCTCCCACCTCTCTGTAAGCATAGAATCCAAATATTCCCATCCTTGGACAAGTAAGAGTTGCCAAGGCGAACGCCATTCTCAGATTTTCTTAAACTAATAAGGAACTGCCTCCAAAACAAGGCAGGGGTGGTACCTGGGCAAAACCTGTGTCAGGAATCAGGAAGGGGGAACAGATGTTGGGGAAGCTGCCAGCAGTATCCACAAGCTCTGACCCAGTCACTCCATTTCTAGGAATCAACCCTAAGGAAATGAGCAGATAAAATCAGTATAGAAAGGTATTTGTTGCAGTAATTATTTAAAGGAAAGAGAGACGGGAGAAACTTGGACCTGATCTCCGAGGTAAGTGTATTGAAATATGTAAGTCAATTGTGCTAGCTCTATGCAATGGAATGTTATGGTGGCACTGAACCATTTATACACAGTGATACAAAGTGATAATGACATTGGGAAATGCTTATGATATAATGTTAAATGAAAAATATCAGGATATAAAATTGTATTTGCAGTATCAGTTTAATTATTTTTAAAGACCCATAGGAAGGAGACTGGAAACAGCTAGGAAGTGGGGTGGCTGAGGTAGAGTCACCCAGGTCTGACGTGGGACCCCTTTGCCTCCCACCCACCTCCAGAGTTGCCAGAGGTCCTGCCGCCCCAGGGACCATGTTTAACGGGGAGCCAGGTCCAGCCTCATCCGGGGCCTCCAGGAACGTGGTGCGGAGCTCCAGCATCAGCGGTGAAATCTGTGCGTCCCAGCAAGCTGGGGGCGGGACTGGGACCACCACTGCCAAGAAGCGGCGCAGCAGCCTGGGCGCCAAGATGGTGGCCATCGTGGGCCTGACTCAGTGGAGCAAGAGCACACTCCAGCTGCCCCAGCCTGGTGAGGGGGCATGGGACATCAAGGGGTGGGGGTGGGGGTCACTTTGCAATGACAGAGTAAGCAGGGACTGTCATGGTGGGTCTGCACTCCCACACCCACAAACACACTGTAGCACTTCCTGTAGACCAGCTGTTGTGCTAGGTCCAGCTTGTGCACTGACTCACTCAATCCTCGTGCAGCTCCATGAGGCAGGGACCAAAGCACAGAGAAGGGAAGTCAGATGCCCCAGACTGCACAGCTAGGGGTGGAGCCTGAATTCGAACCCTAGCAGTTGGGCTTTCCAGTCCATGCTCTTAACCTTTCTTTATGCTCTGCTGCCTCCACGCCTGGACTTATTGTCAGTAATCATTTATGAAACAGTCATATGTTCCTGGCACTGTGCTAAGTGACACCAGAGTTTTACAGACATATGCATTCACAAGACTCAGTGTCACCTGTAATCTCCAAGTCTCCTAAATACAAGTAGCCACACAAATGTAGTCACACGTATATATTACAAAGTCACAAGTGAGACAGACACAAAGATAGTGGCTTGTACAGCCACATAAATAGAGGGTTCAGTTGCTCAGGTAAGCCGCCCATATTTCCAGGAAAGCACAGTACAGCATTTGCTCTGTACATAGTCACAAATAAAACCAGTCATGCAAATCACATAAACACAGTCCTCTGAGTACAGGCGCACAGACCCAGATCACAGAAAGACATCACACATGTACGGTCGTATCTCATACAACCTCACTCGCACATACCTTAACACCTACATCCTGATCAATATGATATACTTGCTCAGACACAGAAGTCCCAGTTATGCTCAGAGAGTGGGTGACCACCTGTGACACAGCCACACATATAGACCCCGCATCTCAGAGGGGCCAGCCCTCCCCAGCCAAGACCTCCTCACTTTGTGGCATCAGCCCAGACACCAGCTGGTTTTGTTTTAAAATCTCTTCTTGCTTATTTTGTTCAGAGTAACAACTTCCCCAGAAAGCTTCAAATAGGCAGCTGGATGGCAGTGAGGGGGCAGGGCGCTGGGGGATTGGGGAGAACGCTCATGGAGACTTCCAGTTGGGGCTGGGGGCGGGGGACTTCTCTAAGCCTTAAAATAGATATTTACAAAGCCCTCCCCAGCCTGTGGGCTGGTCTTTTCCAGCAGTCAGGCTGAGATATGGTTTCTGGCACAGGGCAAGGCTGGATGGGGAAGGGGCTTGAGATCATCAGTGTCCTAGGGTGGGTGTGGCCTCTGGGAACATGCAGTGTAGTCCTGGTGCCTGGGAGTTGGGGAGGCAGGGATGTGGGGATCCTGGAGTTGGGCTGGGGCAAGGAGGGCTGGGATAGGACCAAGGGTGGGATTAGGGATAGGGGATTAAGATCGGGAGGTCACAGAGGTGTTGGACCCAGGAGTCTGGCTCCAGGGGACTAAACCCAGGATTCCAGCTGGTTCAGCTTCGGACCCAAAGTCTTCTTCATGCCTGGTGATTTGGAGGGACGGTCTCCCAAGGCCAAGGCAGGGGCCTGAGTCATCGGGAGACGTTCTGGTGATCTGTTGAGACTTTACCGCCAGCAGGCAGGGATTGGGGCAGACACGAGGAAGACCTTTCACCTTGAGAAGAGATGAATGATGACGGGGCTCTGGGTCCCTGTCTCCATGGTCTGTAAGGGCATGACTGATGCCTGGTGCCTGGAGCCGGGGGAACTGCCCAGATGCTCTTCTAACTGAAGGTCTCTGTGAATCATCTAATTGCTGAATGTCAGAGCAGGAGGGGTCCCTTGAGATCATCTGGTCCGGTGTGCTCATTTTATCGCTGAGGCATCCAAAGCCTGGAGAGAATCATGTTCCTGGAGAACGACCTCAAGTTCTCTCCCAAGAGCCACACCCTGCCACTTACTAGCTGGGTCACTGGGGGAAGCTATTTCACCTCTCTGAGTCTGCTTCTTTGTATAATGAGGAAAATAATACACGCCTTGCAGGATCGTCCAAGAGTTAAATGAGATTGGGTATGCGAAGGCACCAGCCTTGTGCCTGGCACATCTTAGATTCAGTGAAGTGTGGATGCTGTTACTATTACCCTCGGTCACACAGCAGAGCCCATGTGAAGTGAGTTCTCTGCCTCCACACTTCGGCCCCTTCCCTGTAAGCACACTCCTCTCCATCTATAATTCCTATTCTCCATTTTAATTTTCTCCCAGGTCTTTTCTCCGAGTGTCCCAGCTCGGAGCCCCCTCCTGGGTGGGAGAATCTGGTGCCAGAGGGATGTATGGGGTGGACTCATCTTGGACATTGGCCCTGAAAGCTGTTCTGGGAAAGAGCCTACAAGGGCATCCCCCTAGGCTCAGGGGGGATGGCTTAGTTCCCTGCAGGGCTGGGCTGTGGGAAGTGGGGAGAAATTCCTCTCCTGGGCCCAGCCTTCAGGGCTCCGGTCTACCCTTCCTAGGAGCCTCCTTCCTCCTAGTTTATCTGGACCCTAAATTAGCTAGAGCCCTGCCCTTCCCCCCTCATTTCAGAGCCTCTGCCCTCTCTCAGGGGCCATGATATCCAGTCTGGGCTATTGCACCAGCCTCCTCTCTGGCTTCCCTGCCTCCTGCCTGCACCCTTCCAGATTGTTCCTCATGTTACCCTAGATTGGACTTACAAAACCTCACCTTGACACCTTAGATGGCTAGTCCTGGCTCCATCACTTCCTATGGGACCTTGGGAAAGTTACTTTCCCACTGGGCCTCAGTTTCCTCTTCTGTAAAATGGAGCTAAAAGTGCTCTCTGTCAGCTTCCTTCTAGATCTAACATTTCCTAAGTTGTGAAGTTGTGGAACCAGTGAGGAGGGTGACATAAGAGCTTTGGGGTCCAGGACATAGGCTGGATCCACACGGGGCCATCCTGGGCTGTCTCAGCCCTTGCCCAAATGGACCTCATCTTTTCAGTACCGGGGACAGCGTCTCTTCTGTCCTGGGCTCTGGGCTCTCTGTCAGGTCAGGTTGAGGAGAGGGCTCAGGGCCATTCCAGAAGGTGCCTGGGGAGTGCTGCTGCAGATGTGGCTGCCCGCCCCTGTATGTGATGGGACAGATGGGATGGTTCCTGGAGTCTTTCAGTCTCTGGGCCCACAGAATTATTGCAGGCAACTGGGCCTGGTTCTCTAGAGTGACAGGCTACATAAAGTTATTCCCCAGATGAACTGAATTTGAGCCAGAACACATGCGAAGCCAGTAGAGGGATTTTCTCTGAGATTGCAAGACCTTTCTCCTCCCCCTGAAGACATGTAACGTAACCTCCTCTGAATCACATCTCAAATACATGGGGGATGGGGAGGGGAATGGGAAGTAGCATGTCAGTGGACTGGGAGTCTGTGGGCCTGGGGTCTAGTCCCAGCTCTCTTAGCGCCTAGACTCCAAGCTCCCCATCTGTGAAATTGCAGAGGCGGGGGGTGGGTGGCCAAAGTCTCTCTGACATTCCAGGATTCTGTGACTTCCCCACTCGGGGCCCACATTGGGTTGGGCATGTCTTATCTAAGAAGGCAGATTTGCTCCCAAATGGCTCAAAGCTTCTAGAAGTTCTAAAAGAGGATGGTTGGGGTCGTGAGATCGCGAGGCTCTGGATGAGGGTGTGTGTTGGGAATGGGGATGGGGGAGCGATTTGCAGCCCCCACAGCCCATCTGTTCTTCTGTGTTAGACAAGATGTGGTAGTTAGGAACCAGGGACAGGGAGAGACCCCCCACACCCACCATTATTACCCAGGCCTCTGCATGTGTGGTGGGTCACACGCCATTTGTGGGTTTGCACAATGTAGTGTTTGAGTGGACAGGTTCAACTGCATTATGATGTGGAGATCACACGCGCCTGACCTGAGTGTTTGCAATGGAGTATGTCCTGTGTCCATGGGACTAGGACCTGCTAGGACCATGTGTGACTGTGACTGTTGTAGACATATACACATGATCTTATAGGTTACTGTATTCATATAGGTGATTTTTGATGCTTATATATGTCTGCTTATGCCTGTCCGTGTGAAAGAAATATGTGTGAGCTAAGGTGACTCTGCGTGTGTATGTGTGACAAATGGACATTTTGGTGGTCTCATTGATTCCTGGATGTGATAGCTATTCCAGTATCCTGGAAGCTAGGACAATTTCAGAGAAGACATTCCTCCTCACCCCCAACCATCCCATCCGCCGGTGATCCTGGCCCTCTTGGCCTTCCCTCCCCCATCGGGGACTTCCTGGAAGATAAGTAGGTGAAGCAGGAGGAATAGGGCACCCCTTTTCCCAGGCTGGGGTCGTGAACACCCCCTCCCTGACCCACTGTTGGGTGTGGTGGGAGAGGGAACCGCTAGGGTAGCCAGCTCCCCACTCCACACTGCTTTCAGGGGCTGTGCTGCCTGCCCCGCCCCTGGCCTCTCCGCATCCCTGTAGGCAACTCCACTCTTAATCTGCTTGGCCTCTTACCAGCGACAGCAAATGGCTCCTTTGGTACAGCTCCTATCTGAGCACACTTCCCTCCCCACCAAGCTCCTCCAGCAGCCAAGCTTCAGTGGGGAAGTCCCTGCAAACCCTCAACCTGTTCCCCCCAAACCCCCGCCCTTAGGAGGAGAGGGTGTCTAGAGGGACCACACTGCAATGCTGAGCAGGTTGCCATGGAAACCCAGGCATGATGATGCGCAGCTAGGAGAGAGAGTGCCCCGTGTTCCCTGCAAGGCTGGGAGGCGCTGGGATGTGCGGGGAGATGCAGCCCTTTCTCTCAAAGCCAGAGTCGGCTTGGGTCAGCCGAGCAGTCCCTCGCTCAGTCTTGCTTCCCTGATGGCCTCTCTGCACCCCTCCCTCTCTGTGTTCACCCTGCATCGAGAAGGCGTCTCTTTGAGAGTGGTCAGGCTTCACGTGGGGGGTTTTATGGGGCCAGCGAAGGTATCAGAGAGGTGAGTTGTGGGGGCTGGGTATGATAGTGTCTATGAGGATATCAGGAAGAGGGAATCCCAGAGAAGACAAACTTTCTAGAAGACGGAGGAAGGAAGAGCACTTAAGCTCGGGGGCAAGTGCTGAACTCAGGTGGGAAGGAGGGTGTCGGGGAGCCTGGCGAGGATGAGGGCGAGGCCCCCAGTGCTGCCATGCCCACTCTGCCTCCAGCCGTCCTTTGGTCTGCTCTGTCTGTGTCACTGCCTTGAGCAGGGCCACCACGTGTCAGGCTGCAGACCAGCTCTGAGGGCAGCTCAGCCACGTCCCCACTCAGAGCCCTTCGTGCTGCCCCTCCCAAGAGGGTGACTTTGGGAGGGCTCTTGGAGAAGCCTCACCTGTGATCTGACCTTGTTCCCTCTTTGTGCTTGGGGCGAGGGTCACAGAAGGGGCCAGCAAGAAGCTGCGCAGCAACATCCGCCGGAGCACAGAGACGGGCATCGCTGTGGAGATGCGGAATCGGGTCACGCGCCAGGGCAGCCGGGAGTCCACCGACGGGAGCACCAACAGCAACAGCTCTGACGGCACGTGCGTGCAGCCCACGCCACGGTCCCGCCCGCCCTGCTCCCCCAGTCACGGCCAGGGGGCAGGGCAGGAAAATCTCCCTGTTTGGTTTCCAGCTGAGATGTCTGGGTTCCTCTAGTCTCTGCCTCCGTCTGTCCCCCTCCCCTGGACAGTCAGCGTCTGGGCCCCAGGCCCTCCTATCACCCCCATAGAATACCCCAGGGACCCAGAGCAGTTCATTCCTTCTGTATGTTTCAGGAAGGGACCCTGCCTCCTGCCTCCCACCACCTACATACTGCCCTGCTCCAGTGGAGAGTGTGGAAAGGAAACTGTGATCCTAAATTCCTTTTAAATCTGAAACCGTCATTGTGGCTTAGCTGAGTGGAGTTCTCACAAGTAGCCCTGCTTGGAGCTTAGGGAAGGAGATTGGACTAAATCAGTGTTTTTCAAACTGGATGGTGACTCATAGGCAGGATGTAAAATCGGTTTAGTGGGTCAAAACCAGCATTAGAAAAAGAAATAGATAACTCAGGTGTATCCTGCGAGGTAAGGATTAATTACCTTGTGACCCTTGTTTCAGGTTTTTATGTACAGATGCATAGATTTATACTGGGTCATGATGTTAAATCTTTTTCTTACCTGTGGGTTGCAGTCAGAAATTTGCAAGTCACTGGGTTAGATATTACCCGATTTCTTCTAAATCTACGAAACTATAGCTGTATGACTAAGATCTTTCGCTTGTGCTTCATCAAGGCCCAGTGATTTCCCGGCTCAGGATTCTGGGGCTCCACCACTTAGATTCAGCGATTGTGTGTCTCTCTGCTGTATTTGCTCTCCATGAACATGAGTACTCGCTAGCATTCATATATAATAGGGTCCCACCATGGGGCCAGCACCGTGGGCACCTCAGATTAGCTATCCTTACACTGGGATCTACTGGCTGTGATCAGATCAGGGGCATTGGCCACTGGGATCTGCATCATATGATGATCTCCATTCAGCAAGTGGAGAAACTGAAGGAGCAGAGAAGGGCGAAGTAGCCACCCAAGGTCACAGCCATTCAGTGGTGATGGAGTCAGGATTGGACCGAAGGCCATTGACTCTGTAACCTTTGTCCCTACACTCTCTATACCAAACTACAATTCTGCAACCTCAGAAGACCAAGTTTCTTTCTTTAACCTTCTCAGATCCCATTGTCCTAAGAATGTGATATCAGGCTATTATTGACTGTGGCCAATAAAAGTGGGTGGGCCTTACAGCCCCTTCCTGGGGAACGAGGAGACGCAGGCTCTCTCTGACAAGTATACACAGCCTGCTCTTCCCTCCCTGCCTGTCACTGGCCAAGGGGAACTCAAGGCCAACTGTGCAGTAGGGGATTCTTTCTTGGACAGCCTTTTAGTTCTCTAGCCAGGAGCTTGGGCCATTCTAGGAGATCTTAGAACTTTGTTTGTTCCATCGTAGCCCATGAGCAGACCTGGGCCAACCCTCCCTCATCTGTCTTTTCTCTGCTGGCCACACCCAGTACATCTAGGCTTGGGGACATGAAAAAGTAGCGTGTTTCCTTTGATGCTAAAACAGCAGCAGCAATAACTACCAATTAGTGGTTTCTGGTTGTCTGGAATGTTTCATGCACCATCTGCCCTAATCTTCACCATAACCTTATGACTTGGGCATCATCTCTGTTCTGTAGGTGAGGCCAGTCTCTGACCTCTGGAGCCTCTGTTTTCACATCTGTGAAATTGGATGGCAGCTCCTATCACACAGGATTCCATGATATAATGCACATGGAACATTTAGTGCAGTGTGGGCACCCGGCCAGCTTTCAGTCACTGTCAGTTTTTATTACTATTTCCAGGCCTGCCCCCATCGCTTGCCACTCATCCCACCCTGCGACTGTGGCGTCTGGGTCTCAGGTGCTGTTTGGAGCACCACCTCATGTTTGACTTGGATTTCAAACTTATGGTCAACTCAAACTTCCGTTCTTAGAACTTGTTTCAGGCATTGAAATGTCTGGCCCAAGTCACTGGTTCCTGTCATTGGCATCCCCCAGTGAGGACACAGGTGTCTAACAGTCCCTGCCTTGTAAGAGTCACCTCAGATACCCCCCGGGCTGGAGGCTTAAATACCATCATCAGTCTGTAGTTGTTAGTCTCTTTTCTCTAGTGACATCAAATTATTTTTCTGTAGTGTGCAGAAATGAACAGTTCTGTTTGCCCCCAGCCAGAGTAGCATACTCAATGCTGTGTAGAGGAGAAACTGAGGCACAGAGGGGTGTGCCCAGTGCCCCAGGGGCAGAGCCCCGAAACCCACCAGCCACAGCCCACCCCAAGGCTGCCCTGACACCCTCATGTGCCCCTCTGCCTCCTCTGCAGGTTCATCTTCCCCACCACCCGGCTGGGGGCCGAAAGCCAGTTCAGCGATTTCCTGGATGGGCTGGGCCCAGCCCAGATTGTGGGGCGACAGACGCTAGCAACGCCACCCATGGGTGAGTCTTGCTGAGGGCAGGGTGAGTGGGGCAATGGGGTCCCTGCGTGATATGGTGTGAGCAGCAAAATGGAGTCCTCACTCAGGCGTTCTTGCCGGCGAGGAGGAATTAGTGGCACACTCATCAACCCCTCCCCCATCACAGAGGCACGATGGGCCCCAGCCTTTCCCAGCTGGCCACCCTGCAGCAGCTTTCACAGCACGTCCCCTCCGTCACTTCACCACACACTCGCCCCCTCTCCCACCGCCCACTGTGTGCCCGGCAGTGCTAACGGCCGGGCGTAAAGTGCTGAACAAAAATGTCACAGCATTGGCTGCCACGGTTTATTCTATTACCAACTCTCTGTGTGACCTTAAGCAAGTTGCCTCCCTTCTTTGAGCCTCAGTTTCCTCATCTGTAAAATGGGAATCTGCAATCTCACAACACTTTCTTGGGCTCCTCTTAGATGCTTTGCTTGAAGTATTTCAATATACTCCTTCGGCACTGTGGCTAATTTGACTGGTTACTCCTCATAGAACAAGCCTTTTAGTCGTTTTCTCACCCCTTCTCTCTGCAGCTGCGAAGTACAGCGAGCCCTCAGCATCCATGGGTCCACATTCATGGACCCAACCAACCTTGGATTGGAAACATTTGGTGGGAACAAAATTCCACAGAGTTCCAAAAAGCAAAACTTGAGTTTGTTGCATGCCAAATGCTATGTCAAATCCACACAAATGAAGTGATTTGTAGGCCTTGTGTTAGATATAAGGACAGTCACACTTAACGATGGGGATACATTCTTAGAAACAAGTTGTTACGTGATTTTGTCATTGTGCAAACATCATAGAGTGTACTTACACAAACCTAGATGGTATATAGATTTTCATTTATATATATATTTTCATCTGGAAAGTCAAATATCCCAGCATCACTACTGAACATCAGTCACTTCCCCTACTTGATCTGCAATACCAATATCAAATGCCATATATCAGGTTTTTTAATATGCTCCATTATAATCTTATGGGACCACTGTCATATATGTGATGCATCATTTACTGAAATGTCGTTATGTGACATGACTGCAACCTAGAGATGATTTAAAGTATACGGGAGGAGTCAGGTGCATTGGCTCACACCTGCAGTCCCAGCTACTCAGGAAACTGATGCAGGAGAATTGTTTGAGCCTAGGAGTTCAAGACCAGCCTGAGCAACATAGGGAGACCCAGTCTCAAAAAAAAGGATATGGGAGGATGCACATGGGTTATATGCAAATACTATGCCCTTATATATAAGGGACTTGAGCATCCATGGCTTTTGGTATCCATGGGTTTGGTGGGGGGAGGTGAGTCCCAGAACCACCCCCACCCCCAGATACCGAGGGCTGACTGTGCTTCCTGAATTTTACACATGGTCCTCTTGGCTGCTTATTTCTCCAGATCTCAGAAGGATCCTCACTCCCTCCTTTAGGTACGGGCTGTGTTGGCTTCCAGCAGCTCCTCCCCAGCCTAGCTTCCCCAGAGCTGCCTCCTCACCTCCACTCCTTCCCCTTCAGTCTGCCCTGAGCAGTGTCTGACCCAGGCACCCTGCTTAGCCTTCATCTGGACGTGTTTGACCTTTGACCCTCAGCAAATGAGGAAGCCAGTGCAGACAATGCCCTGCTATGAGTCATGTGGTGGAACTGGGGTTCCATTCCAGGCAGGATGCTCTGCCCTGCGCTGCCCTCAAAAGTGCCCACTGCTGGAAGAGGGGTCCACAGGACATTCACAGGGTGAGGGGCAGCTCTCATCCGGCCCTTGGATTGGATTTGGCTAATTCCCAGCCCTCGCTCCAGTCTCTTAAGGGCCTGGGGAGCTGCTTCTCCCAGCTCTCAACCCAGCCACCCAGCCACGGGCTGGGAGGCAGTAAGCAGAGCCAGCCACTTCCACCTGGCTAATGCACTATGGTGGCCTGAAATGTTTGTGTGTGGTGCCCCCTGGTGTCCAATCATGGGAAGGACAGGTTTGCCATTGCTTGTTTTTTTGTTTGTTTTGTTTTTGAGACAGAGTCTCGCTTTGTTGCCCAGGCTAGAGTGAGTGCCGTGGCGTCAGCCTAGCTCACAGCAACCTCAAACTCCTGGGCTCAAGCCTCAGCCTCAGCCTCAGCCTCCCAAGTAGCTGGGACTACAGGCATGCGCCACCATGCCCGGCTGATTTTTTTCTATATGTATTAGTTGGCCAATTAATTTCTTTCTATTTATAGTAGAGACGGGGTCTCGCTCTTGCTCAGGCTAGTTTCGTACTCCTGACCTCAAAGCAATCTGCCCGCCTCGACTCGGCTTCCCACAGTGCTAGGATTACAGGCGTGAGCCACCGCGCCCGGCCTAGCCGTTGCTTGTTATAGTGAGCCGAGGACATTAATTCCCAGGACCTTCCCTTTCCCCCTCCCCCATGAAGAGGTCAGGAGTAGCTGGATGGAGGGGATGAATTCCAGATATCACCTGAAAGTAGTAAATTCCCATCTTCCCCAACACAAACAATGCCACGATGGCTCAGAGAATCTAAAATGGGTGGCCAAACGCAAAGTCTGGCCCATTTAATTTTTCTGGATCAGGCATATGATCCTGCGCCCCTTTGAAGGACTTCCCTGTGTTCCGAGCAGCTACTATGTAATTCCAAATTCTGCCAACCCATGTTGAACAGAGCTAAGAGTTCCTAGAAATCAGATAAATGATGTGACTCCACACACAGATCTTGCCCCAGCAAGATAATCTGTTTTGTGGGAACACCTAACTTGTCACCGGGTGCAGGGAGACGTTCTCAGCTCTCTGCACACAGGAAGCCTGCTGGCCTTCCCGCCCTCCACTGGCAACATGCAAGCAGGTCCTGGCTGTCAGGTGGCACCTCATGTCCTGTGCAGTCTTGTAGCTCGGCATCTCTTCATACTGACATCCTTTCGATATTTGCTCAACATATGTGTAGAGGAAGGCGAAAAAGAGCCACTGAGCCCAGGTTTCCTCCTGTCTACCTGACACAGGAAGCTCTGTCCCCAAACTTGCCATTCTGCTCAGTATAACAGAAGCCTCCTGGTTAGCCAGACCTAGCTGGGAGTCTGGTGGTCTCTTTTTACCCAAGCCTGCCCCTTAAGGGTCATGCCCCCACCCCACCCCAAGGGACCTACCAACGTATCTCTCAGCCACTTTAAAGTGATTTCCCGAGAGCTGGTCTGGCACATGCGGTTGGCTCCATCTTGTTCCCTTTCCAAGAATGATGCAGCATCCTCCGCAGACGGGTGTTCTGCATGGCGCGGGCTGGCCCGCCCTGGCCTGGCTCTGCGTGGACTCACCCTCTTCTCCCTCACAGGGGACGTGCACATTGCCATCATGGATCGCAGTGGCCAGCTGGAGGTGGAAGTGATTGAAGCTCGGGGCCTGACTCCCAAACCAGGCTCCAAATCCCTCCCAGGTGAGGGATTTTGGAAATGGGGTCCTTGGCAGGGAGGCTGTGGGTCTAGCAAGTTCCCAGTTGGCCAAAATCAGTGTTCTTGACAGTGGAGTCACAGCTTGCTTGGACAGCCAGTGACTAGGGTGGGGTAGGGGAGGGTGGAGAAGTCAGTGCTCTGGTTGCCTCCCCCATCTGCTGTCCACTGGTTGGCTTGTCCTATGCACCCTGCTCACCTCCAGGTCAGGGACAGGGCGGGCCATAGCAGTCCCTCCTGGACCCCTCCCCATCATGCTTGTTCTCGTCCCTCAGCCACTTATATCAAGGTTTACCTGCTTGAGAATGGGGCCTGTTTAGCCAAGAAGAAGACAAAGGTGGCCAAGAAGACCTGTGATCCACTGTACCAGCAGGCCCTGCTCTTTGACGAGGGGCCCCCGGGCAAGGTGCTACAGGTAAGTGTCACAGGCAAGTGGGGCAGGGCAGGCTCTCAAAGACTGGAAGTTGTTGCAATTTCAAGTTTTTCATTTATGATTTCTCCTGTGCCAAGCACTGTGCAGGTGTGTTGATTTGTATCACCCATTTTTTTCCACAGCCCAGTGAGGTGTTATTGTCTCCAGCCGATTCATAAGGGAACCAAGGTTCAGGGGGTAACGAATTGCTCCCCAGGTTGCACAGCTGGTGGGTAGAACCAGGACCTGTCTGACCGCTGCCTTCTGCTTCCCCTGGTGCTGACGTTTATTGCGCATCTGCTCAGCGCCAGGCTTTGCGTTAGGTGCTTCCCAAATGTGGCCTTGTTTCAACCTCGAGATGATCCTGCGAAATGGCTATGATTCTCCCCACTTTACGTACGAGGAAACAGTCTCAGAAAGATGAGGTGACTCGCTTGAGGTTTCAGGCTAGTAACCAGCAGAGCTGAGTTGAACCCAGGCCAGTGACTCATCTCAGCCACCTGAGAGTAACAAACCCTCTGCACACTTTGTGTTGTTGGCCCTTCATGACAGTCCCGGGAGAGAGGTAGCATCATGCCCATTTCATAGGTGGAGAACCTGAGATCATGTGAGGACATTGCACAGTGCTGGCTCTGTCTCCGGGCTCAGTCCTGAGTTCAGACTCCAGCCCAACACTCGCTAGCTGCAGGTGGTCTGTAGTGAAGATTAAACGAGAGATGGCACGTAGAGGGCCTGGCACGGGGCCTGGCACCTAGATGCTACTCGGCAAGTATTAGCGGACATGGCCGTGGTGGCTGTGGGTCTTGCCTGAGGCCACACGGGTGGCAGATAAGAGGCTAGAGCCGGGGCTGTCTGGGCCGTCTGACTTCTCATGCAGGCCTGTTCCTCTGGGCTGAGCTGGCTCTGTGGTAGGGGCCCTTGGACTTGCAAACTTAAAGACCTGCAGAACCTGAGGGCTCCGGGGTAGTGGGGCATGGTCTTGGGTGTCTGTTTAAAAAAGAATCACCAATAAAAAAAAAAAAACGTGTGAAAACCACCGGGCTAACCTGTCCCTTCTCACACATTACGGCAGAAACACCGAGGGCCGAGGAGCGCCAGTGGCTTATGCAGCCCCACAGTGAGCCAGCAGCAGGGCTGGCGCTGTGATCCAGGTCCTGGACTCTCAGTCTGCCCCTTCCGAGGGAACGCTGTCGTGGGGAATGCTGGAAGCTGTGGAGTCAGACACACCCACGTCCATTCCAGCTCTGCCACAAATTACTGTGTCTCTTTGGGTTAATGAACCTTTCTGAGCTGCAGTTTCCCCTCAGTGGATGTAATAATACACAGCACCCGCCCTACACGGCTTGCTGTAACGATTGAAATGACGAATATAAAGTCCATAGGGTCACACCTGGCACATGTGACATGCTCAGTAAGTTGTTGCCCTGACTCAGTCTGAGTCCTGGCTCTCTCTGTCCCCTCTGTGCCCAGGTGAAACTTACAGGTTCCTGGGGCCACTGTCCCATCCTGGAGTCAGGGAAGGAGCTCAGTCCCTCCCTCTCCTCCTCTCCTCCTGGCAGGTGATCGTCTGGGGAGACTATGGCCGCATGGACCACAAGTGCTTCATGGGCATGGCCCAGATCATGCTGGATGAGCTGGACCTGAGTGCTGCGGTCGCCGGCTGGTACAGACTCTTCCCCACCTCCTCAGTGGCAGACTCCACGCTCGGCTCCCTCACCAGGCGCCTGTCCCAGTCCTCCCTGGAGAGTGCCACCAGTCCCTCGTGCTCCTAAGGATGTCGGGAAGAGAGGCTGGGATGGTGGTGTGGGAAGGGGTGCCTGCTGACCCCACCTCCTCCCCTGTACATAGTCTCCATGTCTTTCTGGCCTCCTGTCCTGCTGCATGCCTCTTGGCTACTGGGCTTGTCCCAGCTGGCAGTGGAGACTGTGGTGTGTGTGTGTGTGTGTGTGTGTGAGTGTGTGTCCGTCCACATTCTATCTGTTCACCTGTCTGGGTACAGTCAGACCTGGTGACTACATGGGCTGAAATGTCTTCATGTCTCTTTGTGTCTTGTTGAAAAGAAACCCAAAGGAGTGTGGTGGGGACATGACTCACCCTGAGGGGTCTCCAGGGGTGGAGGCGGTGGATGTGGCCACTGGACGGTCCTGCTGTGTTCAGGAACCAGAGCAGCGCCTGTGTGTTCCTGCTCGTGCCCGCTCCTGGTGGTCTCCCCATTGTTTTCTGTCTTGTCTTTTGTTCCGCCCTTGCCTCTCCCAGCACCGCTGCTATTTCCTGAGGAATGTAGCACCCACTGCAGCTGGCCATACCGAGGCCCCTCTGGGAACCCCCCCACACACCCTCCTCCCCATGTGAGCTGCTCGGGCAGCTCTTCCTTTGTCCACTGAATGTGTCCTGCAGCATGTAGCATGCCATCCAGCACCCTGGCCAGGGCCCCGGGGGAGGCAGAGGATGCGGGGTGCTGGGGCTTGGAGACCATCTTCTTTGTGGGGCTGGAACCACCTCCTTCCTACAGTGAGCCACAAGGAGGTCTTAGTCCCCAGGGCAGCTGGCCAGGTGCCCCCTGAGCATTTGTCCTTCATCTCCTTTATCTCTTCAAGTCTCCTCCTCTCCAACATGCCAAAGGAGCTCTCCCAGCGGGACCAGGAGGTCAGCCTCAGAGGGGATGTTACCTGCCAAAGCAGACAGTCCCCTCTAGGCCCTGAGGGTGGCCCTGTCCCCCTCTGGGCTCATGCCTGGCAGGATGTGACTTGGTAAGGAGGTGCTGAGAGCAGGGCTTTCTGCTGGAATAAGCCAGGCTACGGCTGACTTGTTCTGAGACACCGTTGAGAATCCTGCCTGACCTTTGTGATTAGCTGCATGAAATTGTTCATTTGCGGTTCTATGTTTTGCTCATTTCCAAACCAGGGTCCCTGTCTGGGAGCTCAGACTCACATGGGCTCCAGCCTTCTGGCTCCATGAGCAGCCTGGCTCCGGACTCTAGTCTGCCACCGTCACCAGCTCTGTATAAGCAATACTTCCCCCTCGGCCTCCCTGTCCTCTCGCGCTCCACCACTGCCCCAGAAAGTGGCCTGCCCAGGCACCTTGCCTGCCTCTGCTTTCTCCCCCACCCTGTCTGGTTGGAGCTTCTCGCAGCTACTCATACCCTGACTTGATTTGACCGCTGGGCCCTGTTGGTGGGGACCAGTGCCTGGGCTGGACCCCCTGTGAGGTATGTTTGCTGGGAATCTTGACGTCTGGCTCAGGGATGCCCAAATCTGTCCCTCTCCCTCCTCGGGCTCTAGGGTGAAAGGTGAAAGGTTGCCCAGGAGATGGGCAGAGCAGCCCTTGGGTTCAGGGCTTGGGGGAAAGCTCTCTTTCTCCCTCTTCCTGAGACACCATCCCCAAGTGCTAAAATGACTGTGGCCCAAGTACCTGAGGCAGGGAGGCGCCCCCCAGGTAGCAGTGGAGAGGTCTCAGCCTGGTGCTGGGCCTCCATCCATAACCAAAGTTGGGGGGTGGTGCCTGGGCCATCTCAGCCCAAAGGGCCTCCTTGCCTGGCAGGGTTGCTTGTTAGGCTGAAGCCAGAGTCACCACCCTCCCAGGGAAACTAGGAGAAGCCAGGACCCCACCTGTCCTGCCCACAGGACATGAGGGGGTAAGGGCAGGAAGGAAAGAAGCAGAGTTAGCTCCTGGGCTTGTCTCCCACCTGAGCCTCCATTCTGGTATTGTCAGAGAAGAGAACCACAGGGTGCATAGAGGAGTGGGGAAGGCAGCCAGGTTGGCTTTTCTTTTAGCAGAAATGCTCTCCCCAGTCCCAGTGCTCAGACTGGGTAATGCATGCCTTTCTTGTGTTCCTACCAGTGGGGCAAAGGGCTCTGTATTCCTTGACCCTAGTGGGGGGAGGAAACTCGCTTGCAAAAGGGTATTTTTATCTCCTATTTGTGAGGTATTCACCTGTAGAGCAGTTGCTCTCAGGATGGTATGGAAACACTCCACATCTCTGGAGTGATGGGATTGTTAGTGATCTGCAGGGTAGCGTAGATGTTTGCTAGTGTATCACCAAGGGTGATACCCAGACTGTATAGTCACCCCCAGGAAATGGGGGCTACCAACACAATACTCTCCTCTCTCTAGGGGTCCAGGAAGGTGGGGAGCTGCCCAGCAGCATGGCTGCCACTGGGCAGCTCTAGGCCACAGTGCCCTTTGACTCTGGGGGGCAGTTAGCACAGGGAAGGAAGGGTCTGGCCAGAGGAGGGGCCTGATGTGCTGGTAACTTGGGCTGACCCGCCTACAATCCCCAGCTGTCAGAATGGCCAGGCGTTGGGCCACCCCACTGTCCCACCTTGCTAATGGAAGGTAACTCCTCTCCAAATTGACCTTGGGGAATTATTCTTCTTCGCCAAATAAATTACTAATCCCCACCTATATTTCTCCCACGAGGGTGAGGATGTGTGAGGCTGCTGTGCATGTGCGATGGGAGTGGCTGAATTTAAGAGTTTCTCAGCATCCTGGATGCAGAGGCTTGTCCGAGAGGCCACTCTGGAGCTAGTCTGTCCCAGACGAGGAGCGTGCACAGGTGTGATTCCTGGCCTTCCCTGGGCTGGGAGAGCATGTGCTCTTTGAGGAAGGGATGGTGGGGAAGGAAGGAGCCTGATCCCTCCAGAGTTCTCTCTACCTTGGGGCCAACTCACTGCTGGGTTCAGTGTCCTGGCTCCCGACATGTCCCCTCACCCCACATGAAATCCTGCAGTGGTTACAGGATGGGAATCTTTGTCATTCCATCTGCTCTAGTCAGGAGGGTCATCACAGATGTGACAGAGACAAGAGTGGCCCTGCAGTGATGCTGGGCTGTGGGCAGGGACAGTGATGGGTGACTCAGAGCATCTGTCTTCGTAGTCTGTTCAGTCTGCCCCACTTTCTTCACAGACTCCTTTTTCCTGCAGTGGGCTTTGGTATGAGGCAGGCTCCAGTAAAAGGAGCCAAGTTTTGGTTTGACAAGGGGAGTTTGATCCTTCAAAAAGAACCATCTCCAAAACTCCTCCCTACCCCATCTCTTCTGCCACCCAATTCTATGAGGAAAGGAGCACTTAGGAGGCTCTTGGGACTAGCAAGTCCCAGGCAATGCCAGCATTTCGTGGGGCTGAGGCAGAACCTAGGAGCTCCAGGGAAAGGGCACCCATGGAGCTCATCTCTCGTGGAATCACTGCCAGTTAGAGCACTGAGGTCAAGCCAGGCCTCCTGGGGGCATGACACCTCTCAGGGCAGCATGCCTGACCTCTTCTTTACTGCCAGCCTTGAGGAGAGCGGAAGCCTCCATTTTTAAAGACAATAAAGACCTCCAAGGGTATTTCTTTGGAAATGAAATGTAGCACAATCTCAGCTTGCGTTCCCCGGAGCCCTGATGTGCAGCCAGGGTCCCTCCTGCAGGCCCTGCTGCCCAGGAGATGCCGAGCTCCTCTTCCCCTGGGGCTCCAGAGCTCCTAATACCTCATACTCTCCCCACCTTCCTCAGCCCAGAGCGCAGCAGGGCTTTAGCAAGGCTGCTCTTCTGTGTTCCTCTGACTGCTTCTAGCACTGTGCAAACTCTGCAAGAAATTATTGCTGCCTTCGCTCGATGTTGTAGACGAGTTGCTCTCCACCTTGGGGAGAGATGGCCTGTCACTCGGGGCCAGGAGGTTGTCCAGCAGTGTTTCTGCAGTGGCCGCAGGGTGATGGAAAAGAAGAGGCCTGCTTCCCTGCCGCCTCCTACCCTCCTCTTCCTCTCCTCAGAAGTTTCTTCTCCAATATCCTGACACATAAGATTCTTTAAAATGCTGCTTACTCTACTGGACTGTCTTTCACTGAGTGATCAGGGAGGAGATGAAAAGGTGGACACATCCCCTGCCTTCTCCCTCTCAAGTCTGCTTTTCGCTTAGCTCAGAAGAGGTTGGGGCAACACAAGCATGCCTGAAGAGCAGGGGAGCCCCCCACAATCAGGCGAGGCCTGGCAGGGGCTGCACTGGCCTGGTCTGGCTGGGAAAGGGTTATTTTGAAAGCGTGCCTGAGCATCTCAGAGCAATGTCAGTGATGCCAAAGAGAGCAACTTGGCCTCCTTGGGCACCAACTCCGCTGGCTGAGCTGCACAAAATGTGGCTCAGATGTTGGCGTGCCCGATGGTGGGACCTTGTTCTCTGACAAAGGGCTTAATCTTTCCATGTAGCAAAGCAACTCCCCCTCCCCCCAACCCTGAGCTTGGGCTTTTGTGGGCCCGGCATGGCTGTGCCTGCGAGGGAAGCCACATCAGTGAGAGAAACTTGCATTCTCTCTGGGGCCTAGACTGGCGTGGGGCAGGTGCTCGTTGAAAAATATAAGTGTTTCTGCTTTGGGAAAACCAGGGCTCTGGAAACTTGGCCCGTAAGGACAGGGCCTTGGGCCTCCCAAGGAGTTCACGCTGATGCCAGGACCCTTCTTGGGGTCTGGGTCCCAGACAGCTTGGCTACCAGAAATGGGACCTGGGAATTTCAGGGGCAACTGAGCATCTGCCCCATAGACAATGGCCTGGAAAGGGATAGCTGGCTATAAGAAATCAAAGGCTGTTCTGTATAGTTTTGCCAGAAGCCGTGACCTTGGGCAAGACTTCTCACTTTTCTGGGACTCAGCTTCCTCATCTGCAATATCAGCATTTGCCAGTTGCTCCATGGTTCCCTCCAGGTTTTAAAAGTCTCTGATCCGGAGCTGACGAGGGTTGCCAGCCTGGTGCACCTGGTGCCCGGTTCCATGGGCTGGTTTCTTCCAGCCCCTGGTGCCCCCACTGGGCGCAGGTCTTCATCTGGTCCGTGCCCAGATGCTGCTTCTGACAAGAACTCTGGGAATCCTAACAGACCCTGCTTTCCCCTCTTCGTGGTTTGTCCTCCCTCTTTTACGCTTGTGTAATGACGAGAGATAATTAAGGGTTATCTACAATGGACAATTTTCAAGGTGCTGATGTGATGTCACAGACTCAGCTGCACCCTGAGTTAGGTCAGTGTCCCCACCAGCAGATGAGGCCAGGTCATTCCTCATTTCTGCTTCTAGGGTGGTATCAGTGGGTGAGTTGAAGATCTGAGAATTTTAAAGGAAATGCTCTGTGATGGGAGGAGAGAAAGAACTTAGTTCCTTTCAAAATATTTTGCTCCTTAAAACCACTTCTCCCTCCAGAATGCCTTTTACCAGACATCACCCCAGAAGGCAGAGTGGCTGCTTCCTTTGGGAAAGCAGGCCTGATGGCTCTACCAACTCCTTCAGCATGTAAACTCACAGCAGGTGGGAACCCCTTTTTTTAGAATTTCCAAATGCATCCTGCGAAGAGAGAAGATAGCTGATAGGGACTGACAAGCACACTGTTTAGATAAGAAGCAATTAGCCTTTTATATCTGTGCTCTATACATTTTCTATGTGCAGCATCTTTCCAAACTTGTGGTTCCTGGGTGGCAGGTGGACAGCTGGGAGGGACTGCCGGCTGTTTCATACAACGTTCTTGCCAATTCCCCTGGGAGAAAATTCTTCACATGGCTTCTGCATGTACAGTATTTGGGCAGCAAAACATGATTAAAGTCATTTTGAAAGTGGTTTCACGTGTGGCTTTCTGTAGACAGTTCTTAATTCTAGGAGAGAGAAAATAGGGTTCCAGGTGACTAAAAGGAGGAGGAAGAGGGTGCCTTGGTTGAGAGGCAGGAGAGAGCAGTTTATCTCCGGAAAAGGCATGAAAGCTGTGACATGGGGCTCTGACTCCTATTTGGGGAACTCTATTGCCAAAGCAATGTCGTTGGGCTGTGGAATCTGCTTGGTCCAGGCAGCTTCTGGCTGTGTCTCCCAAGATCCCTGCCTCCAGGCCCTCAAAGCCTTCTATTCCCATGGACTCCACAAGGGTAAGCGGCTCCACAGCGAGACTCCACAGAGGCTAAGGCCACTGCTCTTGACCCACTGTTCATTTCTTTCTGAGCTCTTGGGTCCAGCAGCTCTGCTACAGCATATGGCTGGGTCAGTCTCCCTTATTTCAGCCACACCCAATATAATTAATAAATAGCAATCACCTCTAGTGCTGTGAACTACATCAATTGTGGACTCCTGGAGCACCCCTAACCCTCCTTTCCTCATGGAGAGGAAGAAAAATATGTCAACATTGAGTAATTTCTGGGCAGAACCATTGCCCCTTAAGGCTGGGTTTGGGGGTACAGAATACGGATAAAGAAAGATAGCATTGTCTTGGCACGTGCTTGTTGGCACAAGACTGGCATCCTCCATCCCAAGAGCCCTCTAGGGGGACCTCCTCTAGGGGGACTGCCTTGGCTCTGGCTCTTGGCTTTGCAGTCCCCTTGGGCACCATTCCTTTAGAGAAGCACTGAGTCTAGTACATGAACTCTGGTGCTCGCCAGGATTCTGGCATATACTCTCATGAATTTAAGAATTTCTATGCTTCTATTCAGCAAAATTGTTTCCAAAAAGAAGACAAAATGAAAAGGGCAGACAACAAAAACTGAGATCCAAAGAAAGAAATTCTAAAGGATGTTCTTCAGACAGAAAGAGCACAGTATGTACCTTGCAGGCTTATTGGGGGATTAAGATAAGATAAAATTTTTCTTTTGTTTTAAGACAGGGTCTTGCTCTGTCGCCTGAGCTAGAACGCAGCGGCATCATCATTAGCTCACTGCAACCACAAACTCCTGGGCTCAAGTAATCCTCTTGCCTCAGCCTCCTGAGTAGCTGGGACCACAATGCTCAGCTATTTTTTTCTATTTTTTGTAGAGGCAGGGTCTTGCTTGTGCTCAGGCTGGCCTCGAACTCCTGGGCTCAAGCAATCCTCTTGTCTCGGCCTCCCAAAGTGTTAGGATTACAGGCGTGAGCCACTGTGCCCAGCCCGATAATATGTTTTACAGTGCTCAGAACAGCACCTGAAGCACAGTAAATCCTATATGTTCTCTATTACTAAGGGAAATGATCTTAGATGGAAGGGCTGAGATGCAAGAAGGAAAAGTGAACAAAGAAATAGATTTAAAATATTAGTAGATAATAACATACACAGATTGTAAAAACTCTAATAATGTTTTAATTTGTAAAAGTAAAGATAAGCATGACTAAAGTCATGCTTTGTAAAAGTAAAGATAGTCCTCATGACTAAAAAGAGGAGGAGGATGCCTCCTCCTAAATATTGACAAACAGCAGCACGTAAATTAGTCCTTGGAATGTTCTTGAGAAGGATAAAAGATACTGAGTAACTTCGATCTTCCTAAGTATCCATTCTAAAATCTCTAGAGTAAATATTAAGAAAAGAGAAATAGAATTTAGTAGATGTGAAAATCCTCAATATAAACTATAAAATACAACAGCGTATTAGAAAGTAAAATATCATACTTAAGTAGTGTTTATCCAAGGGATGCAAGGATGGTCCATTATAAAAAAATCATCATTGTAATTCACCACATTAATAAACTAAAGGAGAAAAATTATATAATTATCCTAATGTCTTTGCTTGTTAACAGGTTTAATCCTATTCATAATAAGACTTAGCACACAGAAGGTAACTTTCCTAATTTGATAAAAGTCATATACCAAAAAACCTACAGCAAATATTATGTTAATAGAAAAAATGTGGACACAATCTCTTTAAGATTAAGGTCAATAGAAGGAGGCCCACTATCAGTGCTACCATTTTACATAGTTCTGGAAATCCTATCCAATGCCATAAAGAGAACAAAGGTGTAAGGACTGAAAGAGAAGAGATAAAACTATCATTTATAGATAATTTGATAACCACCTACTTTTTAAAATAGTATTGATTATTAGAACTAATAAGAACATTCAGCAAGGTTGGTGAATACAAGATCACCCAACAAAAATCAATTGTATTTCCTATAACAGCTAAAGCCAATAAATAGTAAATATTATCCACAATAGCAATAAAAGTTATTAAGTATCTAGGGATTATTTAAGAATATATAAGATCTCCATGGAGAGAACTTTTAAACTCTTATAAAAGAGTTGATCTGAATAAATTTAGAATCCGTAGGAACATGTAAGGGAAAAAAGTTTAAAAAAAAAAGAATAAATGAAGAGACATTCCCTGTTTTTGGATGAGACAGTTTAATATAAAGATGGTAACTCTCTCCAATTGATCCATAAATTCAATGTAATTTTAATTGAAATTTCAGTTAGTATTTTTTTTTTTTTTTTTGAGACAGAGTCTCGCTTTGTTGTCCAGGCTAGAGTGAGTGCCGTGGCGTCAGCCTAGCTCACAGCAACCTCAAACTCCTGGGCTCAAGCAATCCTTCTGCCTCAGCCTCCCGAGTAGCTGGGACTACAGGCATGAGCCACCATGCCCGGCTAATTTTTTTTTTTATATATATATCAGTTGGCCAATTAATTTCTTTCTATTTATAGTAGAGACGGGGTCTCACTCTTGCTCAGGCTGGTTTCGAACTCCTGACCTTGAGCAATCCGCCCGCCTCGGCCTCCCAAGAGCTAGGATTACAGGCGTGAGCCACCGCGCCGGCTTCAGTTAGTATTTTAACCACTTCGGCACGAGCGTTGACTATAGTCGATAACTACAGATGAATGCACACAGCGACTTTAGCCTACAGCCGTGATATGAAGGCGCACAGCCGAGCATCGACTTCAGTTGACAGCCAAAAGCTTTTACTTTTACAGCTTTTTTAGCAAAATAAAATTGCGAACATTTAAAAATAGCGTAATAAAAACATATATGTATATGTTACCTATTCTGATTTACATTACAAGTAAAGCTGCCTGTAAAGTAAAACAAGCTTTCAGTGCTTTAAAGCTTTCCTCATCACACAAGAGCAAAACGGATTCATCGTCAATGCACAGCACAAACTACCGTGCAGACTATGAGTGCCGGCTGTGGGCAAGGTTTCGAGGCCAGTGAGCGCCGTACTGAAGTGGTTAAGCATTAAATTTACAATTATATGCAGTAATACAAGTCCATGAATGGCTAGATCAGCTTGTGTTTAAGAAAAAAAGAGAGTATCCAAAGATTGGCACTTGTGTATCTGGAAAATTAATACATGAAAAAAGGGAATAAATACCTTAAAACAACAGGGGAAATGGATTGTTTAAATATATGCTAGGAAAACTGCTTCACTACCTGGACAAAGAAAGCATCCCTATCTACACCAAGATATAAAGATAAGCCCTAGATGCTTAATAGATCTAAAATTGAAAGGTAAAATATAAAGCTAATAAAAGAAAATATAAGATAAATAGTTTTGTGAATTAAAGGCAAGGAAAAACTTTTAGTATTATTAACATGCAAAATAAAGCAATAATGAGACATAACTTTATACATGTAAAAGAGTGGCAAAAATGAAGAAGCTGGATGATGCCAAATGACAGCAAGGACATGGAGATACAGGAACTTCAGATTCTGCTTAAAACGTAGGTTGGTGCAGCCATTTTGGAGAGCAACCTCTGACACTACCTGGTCCAGTTATATGCAGACCCTATGACCAGTAAATCTATAGATAGATATCCATTAAAGTGACATGTACAAGGATATTCACTGAAGCTTTATTGGTGGTGGTGGTGTGGTAGGTAGCATAGTGGCCCCCTACAGATGTCCACATTTTCATCTCAAATCAGTGACAATGTTAATTTACATGGCAAAAGGGACTTTGTAGATGTGATTATCTTAAGGACTTTGAGATGGAGAGATTACCCTAGATTAACTCGGATAATGATCTGGACACAGTCTAATCACATGGGTCTTTAAAAGTGGGAAATCCTTCCCAGCTGTGGTCATGGGAGACGTGACGGCAGAATGGTCAAAGAGGTGCAGTATTACAGGGCTTCGAAGGTGAAGGGGAGCATGAGCCAGAGAATGTGAGCAGCTTCTCGAAGCTGGAAGAAGCAAGGAAGTAGGTTCTCCCCTATTGCCTCTATGAAGAACTCTTACAAATCAATCATAAACAGACAAACAACCCAATTTAAAAATGGGCAAAGGATTTGCATTGACATTTAACCAAAGAAGATACACATGTGACCAATAAGCACATGAAAAGATGTTCAACATCAGCCATCAGGGAAATGCAAATCAAATCCACAGTGAGATACTACTTCATACCCACTAGGGTGGCCATAATAAAAAAGAGTAATAACAAGTGACGGGGAGGATGTGGAGAAGTTGGAATCTCCTGAAAATGTAAAATGATACAGCTACACCAGTTAGGCAGTTCCTCAAAAGGTTAAACATTGCGGAGAGACAAAGGAAAAAAAAAAAAGAAAAAAAAAAAGGTTAAACATTGTTATCAAAAGATCCAGAAATTCTACTCCTAAGTATATGCAAAAGATAATTGAAAACATATGTCCACAAAAAAAAAAAATGTATACAAGAATGTTCCTAGCAGCATTATTCATTATGGCCAAAAAAGTTGAAATAACCCAGATGTGCATCAACTGATGAATGGATAAATATGTTACATGTCCATGCAATGTAAGATTATTTAGCAATAAAAAGGAAGATGTACATACTATAACATGGATGCCCTTGAAAATATTATGCTAAGTGAAAGAAGCCAGTCACATATCACATATTGTATGATTCTGTTTATATGAATTGTCCATAAAAGGCAAATCTATAGAGATAAAATGTAGTTAGTGATTTCTTAGGGCTTGGGTTAAGTTGAAATAATTTGTTGCCCTCAATTTTGCACTTCAAAAAATATTAAAGCTCTCTGGGAGGCCGAGGCGGGCAGATAGCTCGAGGTCACGAGTTCGAAACTAGCCTGAGCAAGAGCGAGACCCCGTCTCTACTATAAATAGAAAGAAATTAATTGGCCAACTAAAATATATAGAAAAAATTAGCCGGGCATGGTGGCACATGCCTGTAGTCCCAGCTACTCGGGAGCCTGAGGCAGTAGGACTGCTTGAGCCCAGGAGTTTGAGGTTGCTGTGAGCTAGACTGACACCACGGCATTCACTCTAGCCTAGGCAAAGGCTAGCCTCATTCACTCTATCCTCACAAAGTGAGACTCTGTCTCAAAAAAAAAAAAAAAAAATTAAAGCAAATTATTCAGGTGGAAGGAAAATGATATCAAATGGAAATTCAGATCGATACAAAAGAATTAAGAGCACCAAAAATATGTGTGTAAATATAAAATACTTCTTGTTTAACTTCTTAAAAGATAACCGTTTAAAGCAAAAACAATAGCCATTTATTAGGGGGTGAATAACTTATGTAGAAAAAAATTGTATGGTAACAATAGCATAAGGAATGGGAGAGAATAAATAGAAGTATATGATGTAAGTTTTTTACATTATATTTGAGGAAGTATAATATTATTGGAAGGTAGACTATGATTAAAGATGCACAGAGTATCCTGAGGCAAGGACCAGAAGAAAAGAAAAGATGCATAAACACTGAAAATAAAAAGAAATAAAACAATAAAAATATAAGCAGTTAGCCAAGAAGCTTATTATAGTGGAGATGAGTTAGATGCAATACTAAAAATACACTATCTACAAGAAGGTAGGAAAAATGAAAAAAAGAACAAAGAATGATAGGACAAATAAAAAACAAGGAGAAAACCATAGAACCATCTCAATAGATGCACAAAAAAATTGGCCAAATTCAATACTCGCTTATAATAAAAAAAAAAAAAAAAAACCTCTCAGCAAATTAGAAATAGAAGGGAACTTGCTTAACCTCAAAAATTCCATTTATGAAAAACTTAGAATTGGCCAAGTGCAGTGGCTCATGCCTGTAATCCTAGCACTCTGGAGGCCCGAGGTGGGCAGATCGTTTGAGCTCAGGAGTTTGAGACCAGCCTGGGCAAGAGCGAGACCCTGTCTTTACCAAAAATAGAAAAAATTAGCCGGGCATGGTGGCACATGCCTGCACTCCCAGCTACTCAGGAAGCTGAGGCAGAATGATCGCTTGAGACTAGGAATTTGAGGTTGCTGTGAGCTAGGCTGACACCACAGCACTCTAGCTCAGGCAACAGAGTGAGACTCTGTCTCAAAAAAAAAAAAAAAAAAGGAAAAACTTAGAAATAATGTGATACTTAATACTTAATGATGAAAACTGGACACTTTCCTCTAAGATCAAGAATAAGAAAAGGATGTCTAGATTCAGTACACCATCTTCTCTTTTTCTTTTCTTCTTCTCTCCTCTCTTTTCTTTTCTCTTCTCTTTTTTTTTTTGAGACAAGGTGATTTTGGTGCCCAGGCTAAAGTGCAGTGGCATTATAATATCTCAATGCAACCTCAAACTCCTGGGCTCAAGCAATTCTCCTGCCTCAGCCTCCCGAGTAGCTGGGACTACAGGTGCATGCCTGGCTAATGTTTTTATTTTGTTTTGTGGAGACATGGTCTCTGGATATTGCCCTAGCTGGTCTTGAACTCCTGGCCTCAAGCAATCCTCCTGCCTTGGCTTCCAAAAGTGCTGCGATTACAGGTGTGAGCCACTGTGCCTGGCCTACACTTTCTTTTTTTTTTTTTAATGGCAAAATCTGACCCCAAATTTTTATTTGTAATCTTAGCATGTATCTCATGCAGTTTGGGGAACATCAAACTAGATCTACAATTGCCAGAAGCCTTCTTACAGTTTAATGCACATTCACTAAAAAATGTACATTTTTAGTGTTCATGATAAATGCAGTTATGACCTTATTGCACTTTTGGCATCTTTAAGAAAGTACCTTAAGCTTTAATATACAAATATTTAGGTTGCACTTAACTTGTGCTCAAGCAATAATAAAACATTTGTTCTTTTTTCATCTCATACATTCTCTCCTCAGGTATAGCCCATACCATGGAGTGACCTTTTGGCCTACACTTTCAATAAAAATCCCAACAGGCTTGTCTTAGAAATTGACATGCTGATACTAAAATTTATTTGGAAATGCAAAGCACCTTGAATAGCTAAAGCAATTTTGAAAAAGAACCAAGGTGGATGACTTATGTTACCTGATGGCAAGATTTACTATAAAGTAACGGTGACATTGGCCTAAGAATAGACATATAGATCAATGGAACAGAACAGAGAGTACTGAAATAGACTTACACATGATAGATTGATTTTCTTTTTTTGAGATGGAGTCTCTCTCTGTCACCCTGGGAAGAGAGCAGTGGTGTCGTCATATGTTACTGCAACTTCAAACTCCTGGGCTCAAGTGATCCTCCTGCCTCAGCCTCCCAAGTAGCTGGGACTATAGGTGCATGCCACTACACCTGGCTAATTTTTTCTATTTTTAGTAGAGACAGGGTCTCACTCTTGCTCAGGTTGGTCGTAAACTCCTGAGCTCCAGTGATCCTCCTGCCTAGGCCTCCCAGAGTGCTAGGATTACAGGCATGAGCCACCATACCCAATCCACAGATCAATTTTCAACAAAGGTGCCAAAGTCATTCAATAATATTTTAAACAAATTCTGCTGCAACTAGATATTTAAATGGAAAAAACACGCTATGAACAAAAATGAACTCCAAAATGGATCACAGATATAAGCATAAAAACAAAATTAGAAAATTCCTAGGAGAAAATATAGGGGAAAAAAGTCTTTACAACTTTATGACAGACAATAATTTCTTAGAATATAAAAAGCATTAACCCTAAAATAAAAAGATAAATTGGATTTCATAAAAATGAAAATTTCTTCTCTTTTTAAAGATACCATTTAAGACTTATAACAACATAATAAGACAACACAAGTAAAAATGGGCAAAAGATTTAAACAGACATGTCACAAAGAAGATAAATTATCAATAAGCACATGAAAAGATCACCATTAGTCATCTGGGAACTGCATACCCAATAGAATGCCTAAAATTAATGACTGACAATATCAAGTGTCAGTGGAGATGTGGAGCAGCATTTTTGGTGCAACCAATTTAGAAAACAGCTTTGCAATTTCTTACAAAGGTAAACATACACTTATCACATGACCTAGCAATTGCACTCCTAGGTGTTTATCAGAAAAAATGAAAAAATATGTACACCTAAAAATGAGAATATTCAAGGAAGTTTCATTCGTAATAGCCCCACATTGGAAATGATACAAAAGTCTAATGTATTTGTTAGGATTCAATCAGAATATAAAAGCCACACAGTAATTTGAATAAAGAAATTTTAATATAAAAATTAACTGGATTTCCACACGCAATAGAATGAAATTGTACCCTTATCTTACACCACACACAATAACCAATTCAAAATGAATAAAAGACCTAAATGTAAGAACTGAAACCATATAACTCCTAGAAGAAGATATACACGAAGATCCTCTTGACACTGGCCTTGGTAGTGATTTCTTGGATAACACACCAAAAGCTCAGGTTACAAAAGCAAAAACAGGCCGGGCATGGTGGCTCATGCCTATAATCCTAGCATTCTGGGAGGCCGAGGCAGGTGGATTGCTCAAGGTCAGGAGTTCGAAACCAGCCTGAGCAAGAGCAAGACCTCGTCTCTACTAAAAATAGAAAGAAATTAATTGGCCAACTAAAATATATGGAAAAAAAATTAGCCGGGCATGGTGGCACATGCCTGTGGTCCCAGCTACTCAGGAGGCTGAGGCAGAAGAATTGCTTGAGCCCAGAAGTTTGAGGTTGCTGTGTGCTAGGCTGACACCATGGCACTCTAGCCCAGGCAACACAGTGAGACTCTGTCTCAAAAATAAAATAAAATAAAATAACAAAAGCAGAAATAAACAAATGGGACTACATCAAGCTAAAAAGCTTCTGAACAGCAAAGGAAACAACCAACAAAATGAAAAGGCCACCTACAGATTGGGAAAAATATTTGCAAACTATGTATCAGATAAGGGGTTAATAGCCAAGATTTGTAAACAACTCATACAGCTCAATATGAAAAAACATATAAGCCAACTAAAACATGGGCAAAGGACTTGAATAAACATTTCTCCAAAGATGACATAAAAATGACCAATATGTATGTGAAAGGGTGCTCAACATCACTAATCATCAAGGAAATGCAAATGAAAACCACAATGAGATAGTACCACACACATGTTAGGAAAGCTATTATCAAAAAGACAAGAATCAACAAGTGTTGGCAAGGGTGTGACAAAAGTGGAACTCTTGTACACTGTAGGTGGGAATGTAGATTGGTGTACCCATTATGGAAAACATTATGGAGGTTCCTAAAGAAATTAAAAATAGAATTACCATATGACCCAGCAATCCTTCTTCTTGGTATATACCCAAAGGAAACCAGCTTGTAAAGACATCTGCACTCCCATGTTCACTGCAGCATTACTCACAATAGCTAAGATACGGAAACAATACATGAAGGGAAACTGTGACACACATGCAATGGAATATTATTCAGTCTTAAAAAAAATCCAAAGAGATCTTGCCATTTGCCACAACATGAATGGACTTGGAGGACATTAAGCAAAATAAGCCAAACACAGAAAGAAAAATATTGAAGGATCTCACTTATATGTGGAATCTTAAAAAAAAAAAAAAAAAGTCAAACACACAGAGACAGAGAATAAAACAGTGATTACCAGGGTTGGGGGGGGGTGGAGAGGAAATGGGGAGATATAGGTCAAAGGATACAAAGTAGCAAATATATAGGATGAGCAAGTTGAAATATCTAATATACAACACGAGGACTATAGTTAATAGTAGTGCATTGTATTTAGGATTTTTGCTAAATGAGATTATAGCTGCTCTTGCCCTGGGGGAGGGGGTGGAGGAGAGAGGAAGTAAGATGATAGATGTGTTAATTTGTTCCACTGTAGCAACCATTTTATTATGTACACGTATCTTATTTAACACCGTGTTGTATGCCTTAAATATAAAATAAAATTTATTTTTTTAAAAAAGATTAACTCAAGCGGGGGAGCAACTATGAAGGTGTAAAAAGAACTCTTTGGAGTCTTTAGACTATCCTAAGGGTCAGGAAACTTGCCAAGGAAGCAACAAATTGGAAGGGGCCCTCTCCTTAAATCTGGGATTTGAACACTGTTGGAAAACGTGTACTATGATGTGAAGTGTGCTGGGTTGCCAAGCCCAGACGTGGTCTTGAGTCTCCAGGTAAGCAGGCAACATGCCCAGGAGAGGCTGGCTGGTGTGTGCACAGAGTCCGAGAGTCAAGCATGTCCTTACTTGCAGGCAGAACGGTGCCAGGCATGGGAGTCATGGTGTCGGTGTCTGGAGGGCCACTGGAAACAACCCTCCAAGGGAGCGGCGGGTGGGCTCTGGCTGGCGGCTGGGCGCACCCAAGGGAGTCAGGGTGTCAGGCGGCTCAGCCCCAGAGCAGGGCGGGGTTGAGCACTGTCCACGTCAGGAAGGCTGTAGGAGGTGGGCACAGGGCTAGGGCTGGGGCTGTGAGCTCGCTGGCATTAGCACGCTGGAGCAGAGCGCTAATAGACGTCCCCCGTGCATGTGCCTCTGGCAGCAGCAAAACAGGAGCACACTGACTCCAGGACAAGTTTCTTCCTCCTGCAATGTCCCTCCAGCGCCACCTACTGACAAAGTCCAGCCTTGTTCTCACTGCAAAGGAGAAAGGCTTTCAAAGGGGTGATGCCATCCTGACAGCAGTCGTGAAGGGTAGATCTGGAGTGCAGAGGCAACACATTGATAACTGTCACATCTAGCAATCTAGCAGAATCGATCTGTGAAATAGTAGTATAATGGGATACTACTCAGCTCTAAAGAGAATGAATTACTGACAATACAGTCGGCTCTCCTTATCCATGGGTTGCGTATCTGGGGATCCAACCAACCAAGGATTGAAAATACTGGGGAAAAAACAAAAACGAAAATCCCACAATAAAAACAACAATACAACAATAAAAAATAATACAGGTAAAAATTATACAGTGTAACAACCAATTACATAGCATTTACATCGCATTAGGTATTATAAGTAATCTAGAAATGATTTAAAGTATACAGGAGGATGTGGGTAGTTTACATGCGATTTCTGTGCCATTTTATGTCAGGGACGTGAGCATCTGGGGATTTTGGTACCCGAGGGGCTCCTGGAATCAATTCCCTGCTGATGCCGAGGTAGGACTGTAGTCAACAAACTAGATATGTTGCAAAAACAGCATACTGAATGAAAGAAATCATCTGTTCAGTTTAGGCTTAGTTTAAAAAGAAAGAAATCAGACACAAAGGGTAAATACTGTTAAATGAAATTCTAGAACACACAAGACTAATCTATAGGGACAAAATGTCAATTAGTGTTGGCTGAGGATTTGAGGTGGGTGGAGGTACTGGCTGAAAAGGATTACAAAGGAATTTGAGGCGATGATGGAAATATTCTATATCTGGATGGTGGTGATTACATGGGTGTATACATTTATCAAAATGCATCAAACCATACCCTTAAAATGAGTACATTTTATTCTATGGAAATTATTACCTCATGTATGTCTACTTTTAAAATATCCAAAAATCAGATGTCTATAGTTGTGTAAGATGTAGACCACCAATCACCTTCCAAACCCTGCCACCTGGTAAATTCCAGAGCTGGGGTCATTGGAGAGGGTCACAGCTTTCATGGGAACATGGGAAACCTTCCCTCTTCCTACAGGTGGTGGATTCTCGAAGTGGGAAAGCCTCGGTGGTCACAGTAGATCATTTTGGTTATTGCTGGGAACAGATCAGATGGCACATCTGGAAGGAAGTTAAGAAAGTCAGTCATGGTCTCTCTGAGGGTGGTCCCCTGCATTTTCCTTTAGCTCAGCCAGTCCTGGGTATCTACCCCAGAGACCTGTCGGATGGTATCAGTAGTGGGCACACATAAAGATGGTCAGCTCAGAACCATCTGTCGTGATGGAGAGTTAGAGGCAGCCTCAATGTGTGCTGTCACTGGGGAAGTCGACGAGGATAACATGGCAGAGGCACTCTAAGGATAGAGGACAGAAGGCAGAAACACAGATGACATAGACACACACAGACAGATCTTAAGTATAGAACCCTAGGTGAAAAGGCAGAAAACAATAGCAAGTCTAGAGAATAATGTGCACAAAAATTTTAAATACAGCCCACAAAATAAAGGAAAATATGTTGAAAATATGTCCCTATGACAGAGAAGTCATATTTTATAAGAATATGTACATATACATATCAAAATATTTTGAGAGTTTTTTAATAAAGGGAGAACTGGTAAATGAGCATAAAAATGAATAAGTAAATAAGAGAGGGGCCTTGCACAGGCCAATGATAAAAGTAGGTTGTGAACTAGGGAGAATGGTTAGCTCAGTCCTCTGCTCCTGGCATTAACAAAATTTCCTCATCCCAACATTAAGTGTATTCCAAATGGACTTTGACTGCTAAACATGATATAGAAGTAAACTGAGGCTGGGCACGGTGGCTCCTTCCTGTAATCCTAGCACTCTGGGAGGCTGAGGTGGGAGGATTGTTTGAGATCAGGAGTTTGAGACCAGCCTGAGCAAGAATGAGACATCATCTCTACCAAAAATAGACAAAGGACCCTGTCTAGCCAGGCATGGTGGCATATGCCTGTAGCCACAGCTACTTGGGAGGCTGAGGCAGGAAGATAGCTTGAACCCAGGAGTTTGAGGCTACAGTAAGCTATGATGATGCCACTGCACTCTAGCCTGGGCAACAAAGAAAGACTCTGTCTCAAAAAAAGAAAAAAAAAAAAAAAAGGAAGTAAACCAAAAGATCCAAACCAAGTTGTCTGGATTATATAAAAAGGCAGGGACAACAGGACTTCTCAGGAGCATTCCACTCACCCATCATCAGGCTAAAGCTGCCTTGCACTTCCGTGCTGATCTCTCTGCACAGGGTTATGGGAACTGTGAACTGTGCAGGATCATGTGTGTATCAGCATGTCCATGCCTTAAATGTTGAGATTAATAGAGAGAATCAGAATTCAGAGTCCACTTGCAATTTTCCCTAGGCTTTACTCCCTATGGAGGCTCTTGGTTAAAAATAGTAAGATTTCCATTTAAATTTGATGTAAAGAATGGGAATTGAGGCGTATGCTAGACTCAGGCAGCAGGATAACCAAGACAAGGTGGTGGCTGAGAACCGTCTTGGTAAAGAGGGCCTTACCTGAGGGATGTGCCCTCCAGGTGGCATGTCTGCTGGTCATCATCCAGCATGGTTGTCCCCGCATGATGGAGTGTGAGAGTCATCAGGCCTGCAGAGGGCTGTGTGGGGCCCCATCCTAGCAGGAGCAGGGGAGGTCTATCTGGACCCCAGGCTCATGCAGCTGGGGGAAGAAGTAGGGGCAGGGGGCAGGGCTGGGGTCAAGGGAGGGGTGTCGGAGAAGAGGGGAGCAAGTCGGAAGGGGCGGCGAACAGAAGGGAGAGGGAGGGGAGGAAGGGAGGTGGTGGGGGGTGTAGGGGGACGGGCAAGGGTGGAAGTGACCCAGGCAGGGAGATGAGAAGAGAAACTGGCCAGAGGAGGGACACGGTCTGGGCATGAGGTAGGAAGAGGGCCAGGTTGGTCTGAGTGTCTGGAGACTGAGGCTGGCACAGGGCGAAGAGACAGAGAAGTCATGGGGACAAGAGGCAGGGCAGAGGGAAAGGAGGGAACTGAAGGCCGAGCTGGGGTGCAGCGAGAAGTCAGGTGAAGAGGAGATCGAGCAGGAATGAGGCAGGGCAGTTTCTTCTTCATGGTTCTCAGTTGAGAAGTGAGGGTCTATCGGTGGGTTCAGTGTTCTGCATTCTTTCTTTCTTTGATTCCATTATGACTCGGATTCCCTTAAATGAGAGTTGAGATTCTAGGACATTTTGAGTTGGAAGATACCTTATAGATCCCTGGGTGCAGCTTTCTCCATCTTACACATTAAGATATAAAGGCCCAGTAGACTGTCCAAAGTCACCAACAATTAGTTAGGGGCATAGTTTGGACAAAACCCAAGCCTGAGCTCATAGAAACAATCCCAGGATGACCCACCAAGTAGTGGGTCAAAAGCACAGGGCTATCGGAGGGGAACCTTCTGACCAAAAAGGCCCACCCTAGATAGAAGCAATGGACATGCTTGCTCTTCTATAACCCTGTAAGTAATCTTAAAAGGCACCTTCCATCTCTGTCTGCCCATTGCCAGAAGCTGCAATGACCCCCTTGTCTCCCCACTATGGGAAAGCTCACTACATACACCCAGGGAAAGGATTGAACATGAAGAAAACAATATTGATCCCCACACCAAGCAATAATTGAGCTCAAACCCAGGCCTGATGTTACAGGACCTGGGGAAGAAGGTTCTGGAGCAGGGGAAGCAGTCACTTAGAGTCCCTGTCTATTCATTGCATTAGATGCTCCCACACCTTTCTCACCATTTGTCTCATTAGAAGTTCACCGGCCAGGAGATGCTACCTACATTTTAAAGAAGAAGAAATTAGGCCCAGAAAGGGGTAGACACTTGCTCAGGGCCACACAGCCTTGGAATAAAAACACCAGGACCAGAATTGGCACCTGTTTCTGTGCCCTTTCCATTAAATGACTAAACTGAAAAATGTGATGGGAAGATAAGAGGTCATGGATATATGGACAGCAGCTATAATCACCCCTTCAACATAGAGTGGTCTCTGCGTCTATGAGCATCTTATCCCCAAAGCCCCACCTTTCTGGCCCTATCTTTCTGGTCCCATTGTCTCTTTGCCACTCATCTCCAGTACCTGCCCTTACGCCCTCCAATGGAAAGACATGCAGGCTGAGAGGTGTATTGGCCAAAATGGGCAGGTTATACTGCTGTAGCAAATCCTGAAGCCCTGAAATCTTAGTACAATAAAAGACTATTTATCATTTATGCCATATTCTGATGAGGGTTGGCCCACTCTCCTGGGCATCTTTCCTCTAAGAAATGATGTAGGGACATTTTGTACCTATATCCTAAGTGACATGTGGCTCCAAGGTCACTGAGGAAGGGAAAGAGAAAGATCTAGAAGATATCATCTAGGATTTTAGTTTCATATTATTCTTCTAAACTTTCTTCTAAAATGTTTTTTTAATCAACAGGCATTTGAATTTACCAGAACATTTTACTTGTTTATTATTGCTTTTGCTATCCAACTTTTTCCTCTTAGAACTTTTCTTCTACATCCCCTTGTAATTCATGGGAAAGTCTATGGGTGAAAATGTATATTTTTGTCTCCACACTTGAATGAGAATTTGTTTGAGTTTAGAGTTTTAGGTTCAGCATTATATTCTCTCAGAAGTTTGAAGCTATTGCTTTAATATATTTTTACAACCAGTGTTACAGATGAAGTGTGAAGTCAACTTGATGCATATTCCATTGATAGGGAATCTGCTTTCTTTGTGAATGCGTTTAGGATTTTTCTCATTAACCTTGGTTTCTGAAATTTCATTACACTATTCTTTTTTTCATTCATCCTGCTAAGTCCTTTGTGAGGTCTTTCCATCTGAGGGTTTCATTAATTCTGGGAAATCCCTTTGAGAATTGCTTTGAGAAGTCTGTGTGCAATCTCTTCTCTCCTTCTGGAACTCCCGTTTGAAGGATGTTGGAACTTCTGGACCTGTCTCTTAACTTCCCTTTGAAACTTTTTATATCTTTTTGTTTTAGGGATACATTTTGAAAGACTTCCTTGGCTTAATCTTCCAGCTCACTGATCTCATCTTCACCTACATCCCTGCTGCTGTGTGGCTCTTGAATATTTTATTGCAGATTAAGTTTTTCATTTCCAAGCTCTTTAGCTGACTAATGTCCATGGTGCTATATCCTCTGTCATCTCTGGAGATACTAATTTTTCTGAAGTCCTATTCTGCTTGCTCTGTTTTGTTGGAGCTTCTTGTGTCTTTAATGATTTCAGAATTTCTCAAATGTTTGAGATTCTTGTGCATGCATCTTTGTCACTGACACATCCTGGTAGCCAATCTAGTTCTGGCTTTCAGGGAGTCCTGCTAGTTTCTGGTCTACTGAGGAAAGCCCTTCTTTGTTTCCCAGCAATGGTGAGAGAGACTGCCTGGGTTTGAAACCTGGCTCCCGTACTCACTACGTAAGTGACTTTCGGTAAATTATGCAAATTCTTGTGTCTCAGCTCATCCAAAAACTGGCCACAGTACTTATGTAATAGCATTGTTATAAAAATTAAAGGAATCAGGCCGGGCGCTGTGGCTCACGCCTGTAATCCTAGCTCTTGGGAGGCCGAGGCGGGCGGATTGCTCAAGGTCAGGAGTTCAAAACCAGCCTGAGCAAGAGCGAGACCCCGTTCTCTATAAAATAGAAAAATTAATTGGCCAACTGATATATATATAAAAAATAGCCGGGCATGGTGGCGCATGCCTGTAGTCCCAGCTACTCGGGAGGCTGAGGCAGAAGGATCACTCGAGCCCAGGAGTTTGAGGTTGCTGTGAGCTAGGCTGACGCCACGGCACTCACTCTAGCCTGGCAAAAGCGAGACTCTGTCTCCAAAAAAAAAAAAAAAAAAAAAAAAATTAAAGGAATCAATGCATATAAAGCTCCTAGCACAGTACCTAGCACATTATAAGCTCTATGTCAATATTATTATTTTATTATTATTCTAAAAGATTGATTGGTAAAACAATATATTAATATATAATATAATATATTGTATTATATAATAATATATAATAATATAATATAATTAATATAATATATTAATATAATGTCATACTATTTCAATAGTCCTTAAAAGCAAAATTAAAGTTTCTGATAACAATCCTTTCAAAGAATATTTATCTTATTTATTTCTATATTGTTGGACATTTAGAATTTTCCAAATTTTTTTGATTATGAGTAAGCTGAAATAAAAATCATTTTATATGAATTTTGCCTATTTACTCATTTATTCAACAAAAATTTCTTAAGCACCTATTTGGTGCCAGGCCCTACACATAGGGGATACAGCAACAAACAAAACAGACAAAAACCCTGGTTACCATTATGGAACTTACATTCTAGTGGGTAATAATAGTTTATATTTACTGAGCCCTTCCTACATGCCAGGCACTTTACTAACTCATTTAATTCTCACCCTACAAGGTTGCTATTATTATTATCCCCATTTTGCTGATGAGGAAGAAGAGGCGTAGAGAGGTGAAGTGACCCCCAAGGCCACACAGCCAGTAATTGGTTGAGCCAGGGTTTGAGCCAGGGTGGTGGCAGGAGACAGCAGTGGTGGTTATCTGAGTTTACGGTGGTGCTCTAGAGAGTTTCTGACAAGACATGGCAGCGGTCTCTTCTGGAAGCTCTTTGTAAGCCACCTTTAAGGGAATGGACCTAATTTTATGAAAGCCTTTAAGAAGGAGAAAGACATGTTTACAACCATGTTTTAGAAATATCACTATTAACTGCAGTGTGTGGAATATATTGAAGGAGAAAGCAAGGAATTCAGTTAAAAAGTTATCGCACACTAAATCAGGTGACAGGTTGTAGAATGGCCTCAACCAGGCCAGGGCATGGGGATGGAGGGGATGACTTGAGATAAAGTGGGAGGTAGAATGGGCAGGGCTTGCTGACTCACTGGCTGTGGGAGTGAGGTACAGGGAGAAGTCAAACTTAAAACCCAAGTTTCTGGCTTAGGAAATGGTTGGGGGGGATATTGAAAGGGCAGGTTTGTTTGTGGGGAAAAGGAATGAGAATTGATAGGTACTGGTCTTGACCTATTAAGAATCAGATGCATGGTAGGACATCCACTGGCATTCGGGTTGTCAGCCAGAAGCTCAGAGAACAGATCTGAACTATAGATGCTCATTTGACAGACATCTACAGAAATATAATCTTCAACAATATGTACAGTGAGAAAGGATAGCACCTAAGACCAAGAAACAGCATCTATGGCCCAAAATAGATTAAGAGGAGCTCACAAAGGAGACTGAAAATGAGCAGACTGAAAGGCAGGAGGAAACCCAGAAGCATGCAAAGAAGAGAGTGTTTTAAGCTGAAGCAAAATAACCCAGAAACAAACCCTCACATGTATAGTCAAGTAATTTTTGACAAGGGTGCCAAGACCATTCAATGGTGAAAGGACAGTCTTTTCAACAAATGGCGCTGGGGAAACCAGATATCTATATGCCAAAGAATGAAGCTGAATTCTTATCTAACACCATATGTAAAAATTAACTCAAAATGGATCAAAAACCTAAATATAAAACCTAAAATTATAAAATTCTAAGAAGAAACACGGACACTTCTTCTTTTGGAAGAAATTATGACATTGAATTTGGCCATGATTTCTCAGATATGACACCAAAAGCATAGGCAAAAATAGAAAAATTTGATTTTATGAATATTTAAAATTTTGGGGCATCAAAAGACAATACAAACAGAGTAAAAAGGCAACCCACAGGACCAAAGAAAATATTCTCAAATCATATATCTAATAAGGGATTAATATCCAGAATATATGTAACAACAAAAACTAAACAACCCAATTAAAAAATAGGCAAAAGACCTGACTAGACATTTCTCCAAAGAAGATATGCAAATGGACAATAAGCACTTGAAAAGATGCTCAACATCATTAATCTTAGGGAAATGTAAATCAAAACTACAGTGAAATACCACCTCATATCCAGTAGAATGGTTACTATAAAAAAAAAAAAACCACAGAGAATAATAAGTATTAGCAAGGATGTGGAGAAATTGGAACCCTGTGCACTCTTGGGGAGAATGTTAAATGGTATAGCTGCTATGCAAAACAGTATGGCAGTTCCTCAAAAAATTAAAAATAAAATTTCCATGTGATCCAGCAATTCCACTGCTGCATTTATACCCCCA